ATGACATTTGTTGGGAAATCAACTTCGTCATCGTTCAGATAATCCACGTTGATCTTCTTCACCCTCTCGTTCTCCGTCCAGCCGTCTCCAAGCCAGCCGTTCGGATTGTCATTGACATAGTCGTAGGTGTAATCCTCCCAACGAGGATACGCAAGAGCTTTCATTGAATGAAGCGAGGAACCTGAGACTTGTTAGCGATGCGAAATACGGCACTTGCTCACACCAAGAGTGCTTACCGGGCCATAATGCAGTAACTCTGCCATCCTCGGTCCCTCCCTTGTACCAGCTACGGCATTTCTCGCTAAACACCGTTCTTGAGAAGTACTGGTCACAATGGCGAGTAAACATTTCTACCGCTTCCTTTTTCACGCTCATCGCCCGGATGTTATCACGCTGCATCTTCTGTGCGCAGAGCGTGAAGTAATCAATCTCCTTCTCAATCAAAAGCAACAGGTTACCCTCGCCTAGTGCCGCGTTAGGCCCCAAACAGACAAAATAGTTTGGGAATCCATCGACTGCCAAGGAGAGATAAGTCTCTGGTGTCTTCTGCCAGCGGTTGGCTAGAGTGACACCGTTGCGCCCGATGACTGGGAATCTCGGAGTGAATGTGGTGTCGAATCCAGTTGCGCAGACAAGCACATCCGTGGGATGATGTTGTCCGTCTGCGGTGATGATCTCCTCTGCATCGACTTTGACGATCTTACTTGTGATGACCTCCACTTTGTCGTCTGTCAACGCCTCAAGATATCCCGGGCCTGGAGTGAGCCGTCGGCAAACAGGAGGAAATGAGGGGATCAAGTTCTCGCATAGTTCAGGTTTCCTTGAGAGTCGGCGCTTCATATTCTGTAAGAAGACCTCTCTCGCGCCGATCTGTTCAGCTGTGCCAAGTAGCGTCACACCATGGACTGATTGCAGCTGGAGTTCGATTTCTGCTATAGAATTAGTACCGACGTTTACGACATCTTCAACGAGAAGCTCTCACCTTTGCGGAACTTCTGGTAGGCGCTGTGGTCCTTCTTGAATGTTTTAATCTCTTCTGGAGTAAACGAGACTATTCCAACGAGGTCAGTGCTTTTTTATACTGCATGACTGGATGAGTTGACAAACAGTTCTCCAGTTCAGCTCCACCTTTTTTATCCACATGTTGGCGGGCAAAGGTGGGGGAAAGCCATGTACGCCCCCGAATGTAGTGGTCGATATGGGCTACCTTTGGCAGCATGCCAGGAACGATCTGGATGCCACTTGATCCATTTCCTATCACCGCGGCTCTTTTGCCCTAGCCAGAGGCTCAGCTTGCATTTTCCCAAAATGTCCGGGGCTGACTCACGGTATAATCATAGCTCTCATCCCAACGAGCACTATGCTGCAGCTTGCCTTTGAAGTCATGCAAGCCTGGGATATCTGGCCACTTCCACGAGTTCAATGCACCCGTTGCGGAGATCAATAAGTTACATTCGTCCGAATACACCGTGTTTGTCTGAATATCTTGAACCTGCGTTCAACGTCAATACTGACTGTCGATGGGCCAGGTACGGAGGACCGACCTTCAATTGCCACTTGCTCTTCGAGTCGTCCCAGACAGCTTCAATGACTCGTTGCTTCAGCTTGACGTACTTCGTGCAACCGTACTTTTCAGCCACACGTTTCCAGTACGCGTGGATCTCCGGAGCGGCAGCATAGAATGTCGACCATTCTTTGTTTGGCTCAAAAGTAGCTTGATATGTATGGGCTGGGATGTCTGCGAACATCGTAAGCGTCGGCCGTCATTGACGCGAGACAATTCTCGCAGGAAGATAACGAGTCTCACCACATGCACAACCGGGATATCTGTTCTCGAGCCATGTGCCCCCAATATCTTCATTCTTTTCATACACACAAAGATCCACGTTGGGGATCCGTTGTCTGAAGCGAATGGAGGCGATGATTCCAGAAATGCCTGATCCAATGATAACGACCCTCAGAGGACGGGCTTCGTCGATGGAACGCTCTTCTACGATCCACTTATCCTCAACAGGTCGTGCCTCTTGGCTCTTGGAACTGCTGCCAAAGAATAAACGTCTCATATTGTTTATGAGAACAAGGAGGGATTATTAGAAAGGTATGTATAGAGGAACAATCAAGCCAAGATGCTGTATTCTGAGAGCAGGTTGCACGAATAGCCTGGTTAGGCGCCCGATATAAAGCTGCGATCATGCAGACTATATAACAAACAAACCAGGATACACGACTAATTTGAGAACACTCGAACCAGACCGAAGATCGGGGAGACCTGCCTTTCCGAACCGCTCTCCCCCTTCTCACTTTTCCCAACTGCTATTCTAGACTCTCCTCCATGGACCACAGAGCTAGGCAACTCCCTATTCCTCCCCGTTGGGACGCCAACAGCCGCTCAAGCGAACCCGGAATCGGGGAGGATTAGTTATTCCTTTGGCACATGAGGCTCCTACGTCTCTTACCGTTTCCGGCCTTCAACTGGGCTCAACGGATACGTGCCACAGTCTCGGAATTCCCCCTTCCCCCTTCCCCCATCTCCATCTCCCAAGTCCCTGGTGGTTGACCCCGGACTCCATTTGCGGGGTAAGAAGCATTCGTGATGCTGATGTTTGGGACCGTACGTAGAAGGTAACATTCCAGACATAACCGAAGGACTCTGCATAGCGCGTTTGTTTCAGTGAGCTGAACTGACAGGAACCGGCTGTTGAGTGCCGACACCCACTCTATCGCCTGCCAATGTTAGTGAGTTGGACAAATGGAGGCCTTCCATAGCCAGAAGGACTATATCCTGGATCTCATCTGTGATTTCCAATTGCTGCGCATGACTCGCAACTTCGACCAAATCGACATGTTGGTAACGCTGTCTCCCGCGCCTTGCCCTGAACCATGGATATCTGGACTCCAACCGGAAAACCCCGCGTAGATACACCCCTGTGTACAACTGACATATTGGACGACCGCGGAATCTATGCGCCTGCCAACGCACGGACACTTTTGCCCGGTGGAGAAACCGGAGAAACCCCGAGATTAAGTATATGCATGCATTTCCCACAAGTAGAATGGTCTCTTCACCCTGTCCTAGCCACCATGATGTCTACTTCCAGATAAATGGATATCCGTTATTCCGTCCATACGCATCATCCATGTTTTCAATACAATCGGGATACCCCCTGGCACAAACTTTCTCCCCACAAACGGGACATTGTAGAATGCGGGGTCTCGGCTCAAGAATAGTAGCCAACTGGTGTTGAAGGGATGACCATCTGAGGTTCCTGGGAGTTGATATTGACCGTTGCTGATTGTGGGATAGGACTGAATACAGCATGCTCTGGATATCCTCGAGTCACCGATACTTGGACTGTCGATCAGCGATATGGATGTTCTCTGCTATAGTAATGAATAGTGTGGGATTTAGCGTCTTTAGGAGGTGCAGTTCTTGCAATAATCAGCAAGCAGTCCTTCAATTGGTTCGCCTTATAGGGACAGAACTTCCAGCTTCCAAATGATTCAGAGCGATAGATGCCTATACCGACCGACACTCGATGATGGTATGGACATTAAATCCATCCTCTCGTCAAAAAGCACGAAGTCAGTAGAATGGGAGTACTTCTGCTTGTCTATGATGCCCACACGTGATGCGTGACGTGTCTCCTTAAGTCCATCAGGCTACAGCAAACTGAAGAGAAGGACTAGATGCCTAAATCTCCGTCATTCTTCAGTAACGACAACAGCGATCAAAGCTAACGTAGACTTCACAAGAGCCTGTCCACTTTACCCATCTCAACAGCAACCATGCATTCAACCTCGGTTTCGGAGGGAACCAGCTCAGGCCAATCCCCCCTGCAAATCCACATCGAGGAACTCTCCTCCCTACCCCTCCACGACACCATCCAAAGCTTGGCAAACCTCCTCCCCGAGCTAACCACCTCCATCACCGCAACAGGCGAACGACTCGTGACACATCCTACCTACGAAGGAACGGGCAAGCTCGACGACCTGGGCAGACTCTACCTCCGCGCCGCGGATCGCTGTACCCGCGAACGCGCATCCTTCAAAACCCGTCTCCTGCACGTATCCCTCGATTTCATGATCGAAGCACTCTACGCTTCCAGTCAAGAGCAGCTGGAAAAGGGGATGGCAGATGGATCGGTGCATCTGCCTCCTCGACTAGATGAGGGGTGTGCATGTTGCAACGGCGAGCCCTTTGCCGTGATCCTGAGCGGGTTTCATGAGGGGAATGCATTATTATTCTGGGAAGATGAATACAAGGCTTTCTGGGGGGAGGAGGAGAACATGGGGGGACAATATGGTCTGGGCGAGACTTGGATCAGGGCTTCGAGGGAGCAGGTTGAGCGTGCGATGGCGCGGGAGGAGGCGACTGTCATTCCTAGTATGCTTTAGATGATTCTAGATGAGTTAGTGGATTGAAAGTCTCCTGTGGGTTGATACTTGTGAAAATGGTTCTTGGAAATTGTCATTCGTCGTAATGTTTGGTGTGTCTAACATACTGGGCGGCATACTGCTAGTAAGTTTAGCATCGAACGAATGCCCCGCACTGAGGATCCACTGTGGCACTGCCTAACGATAGTGGATCACAAGAGTCTGCATCAGAAAGACATAAGCCGATCGGAGGTCGATCAGGGCGATTGGTGAGCTTCGTGTAATCATCTTGTCAGCAGCAACTCACCCAGTGTTGCATGGCTATTCGTTCAAGCTATCCTTGTCCACCCCGCCTTTAAGCATCTGCCGTATTTCCGAACATGCATATCAAAAAAATGCCGGCATCTGGGGCAGCATTATCACGAAGGATCAACTGCGAGATTGAGTTTCTCCACGAATGCAAGGGGGTTTCCAATACTTGCAAGGAAATTTATTATATATCTTATTGATCGGGCTTATAGCCCGAGTCGCAATCACCGTACAATTCCTGTCTACCAGTATCTTCTTGATTTTTGATATCGCCATTTTACCTTGAATGCACTGTTCAATTGAAACTCATCTTCTCTATGCCTGTATTCACCGAATACGCTGCCTCGTCGCGTGAACTGCGCGTTCTGCCTTCCTTTGCCCCTCCACTTCCCCGCCTTTCCCCGCGATTCACGCCTCCTGAGGGAGCTGAGAAATATGAAGTCGTCATTGTCGGCGCTGGTCCAGCAGGGCTCATGCTGGACCTGCTTCTGGCACGATATGGCCTCAACGATGACTCTCTGCTCTGCATAGACGCAAAACCAGGTACTCTCAAATCCGGCCAGGCGGACGGCCTGCAGCCCCGCACGCTCGAAGTCCTCAAATCTCTCGGGCTTGCGGACGAGATCCTCACCGATGGCTGTCACATGGAAGAGGTGGCGTTCTGGAATCCGTCGCCTGACAAGGAGAAGGTGATTGAGAGGACGTCGATCGTTCCCGACGTTGCTGTGCCGGCCCGCTTTCAACATGAAGTCACAATCCACCAGGGTCGCATTGAGCGGATCCTCGAAACAGATCTGCTCCGGTATTCGAAAAGAGGCGTACAGCGGAACACCAAGCTTGTGGACGTCAAGATCGAGGAGGCAGGCGATGCTGAATTCCCAGTTGTGGCCGAAATCGAGACGGACGGCACCCGCCGCACAATACGCTCGAAACACTTGGTAGGCGCGGATGGTGCCCACTCGGTAGTCCGGCGCTGCATGGGACTCAAGCTGGTCGGCGAGTCAATGGACCATATCTGGGGCGTGGTCGATCTGGTAATCGACACTGACTTTCCCGATATTCGAAGACGATGTGCCATCCATTCACCGGCCGGGTCTGTCATGGTCATTCCGCGGGAGCGCATCGCGACGGGCGATTACCTGACTCGTCTCTATGTCCAAGTACCTGAAGAGACACTTCCTGAAGAGGACCAGACGCCCGTTAATGGGACTAGTTCCCAGTCCAAAGGAGATGCACGCGCGCGCAGAAGCCAGGTGACCCAGAAATCGATTTTTCGGCATGCGGCGCAAGCCTTCAAGCCGTACTATATTCGGCCCAAGGAAGAGGGCGCAGTCGACTGGTGGGCTGCGTACCAGATCGGTCAGCGAGTCACGGACAATTTCACCGTCAAAGACTCAAAGGGTATCAATAGGGTGTTTATTGTGGGAGATGGTATGTGATCATTGAGCAGTTTTGATGAATGTTGCTGATAGTCCGATCTGCCTCAAGCTTGTCATACACATAGTCCAAAGGTATGTGGCGATCCTAAGCCGTTCAAGATGTCTTACTGATGACGATGGTCAAGGCTGGTCAAGGAATGAATGTGTCAATGATGGATTCGTACAACCTAGCCTGGAAACTGGTGTATTCCCTCCATGGGCTCACACCTGATTCGGCGGTTCCCGGACAAGCCGATGCCATCGTTGATACATACCACTCTGAGCGCCATACAATCGCCCAAGAACTCATCGAGTTCGATCGTGCCTTCTCATCCATGTTCTCCGGCAAGATTGGGGCGTCAGAGGATGGAGTCGAGGGGCTCACGCACGAACAGTTCCTCCAAGTTTTTAGCACGGGAAATGGATTCACCAGTGGTTGTGGTATTGAGTATCCTGGTAGCCTAATGGTGGACAAGGCTTCGGATGACCATGCAAAAAACCCGATTACCGGGACAGATTACCTGTCCGGTGTCCTTCGTCCAGGCAGAAGATTACTTGACGTTCGATGCAAGCGCCATGCAGATGGGAACAGGCGGCACTTGCATGACGGTACGTTGTTCTCGCATCACACCGTTCCTCTGCACCTCAACACTGACAATACCCAGACTTTCTTTCGACAGGTCGCTTCCGCATTCTATGTCTCACGTCTTCGGATCTCCTGGACCCCAAGGGCGTTTCTGCTCAGGTATTGGCCTCTCTTGGATCATCTGTCCTTCCACGCTTCCCGCCAAACATTATTGAGCAGGTGGTTATCCATCCTCGCTTGGGTAAGGTGTTCATGTGGCAGGATGTGCCGAGTGAGCTCAAGAGACACTCGGAGATGCGGTTCTACAGCTGTTACGAATTAGACGATGTGTACAAGATCTACGGCGTAGACGAGACAAGGGGTGCTTTGGCCGTCGTTCGACCTGATGGATATGTTGGCATGGTGGCGGCCTTGGAGGACGTAAAGCGTGTACAGGAGTACTTAGAGAGGTGTGTGAGGACTGTCTAAAGCAAAGTCATGTATAATAGTATAAATGCATCGCATACCACCAAGATTGACGATTCATTTCCCCAGTGCAAAACTGTGCAATTGATTTTGTGATTGCAGACAACAAGAACGTCCCTGAGATATTCTTAGATCACGATAGCACGTGACCGGCCAAGGCGGAGGATTAGTCACCAGCACGTGGCTGGAGTGCCGAACAGCCGATTTCTCCTCTTTTCTTAACGTTTTCGTCGGTCTCAGGACACTTGACTGGCCACAATGGAGGCGATGACGGCTCCGGCCGCTCATGGAAAGCCCTTGTTGGCTCTCAACCGGCGGTGGAGAGCCAAAAATGACGATGCCATGGCCTCTCTCCACTTGTCGGCATTAAGCAACTTTTATCGCCGCAGTCGTTTTCTTGCAGGTGGGATCGCCATACAAAACCTGCTCTGTCCCTGCTTGCATTCCTCTGGGGGTTGTTGCGGTGGTCATGTTGATACACCTGTGCCTGGTCTATCGTTATTTTTTGTCTACTTCTACCGGAACCTTGGTATACAGAAGTACTCTCTATTTACAAGAGTCGCGTGACCTTTTTACCAAGTGATTGGCCATGACTCAAGATGGAGGAAAGGAGACTGGACATACTAGATCGCGATCAACATCGCTAAATAGCACAAGCGACAGTCAGCATCTGTCACGGACAAGTTCAACAGAATCAGAACGCTCGCGGAGTTTGAGACTCCTATCTATAACGAGGACGAGGTCGGAATCTAGACCCAGGAGAGCGAACCTCGACAGAGTGTACTCTGGCAGGCACCTGGATGATCAGTCGGTCTACCATAGCGACGACGACGCTCCTGAAGCCCATGCAGTAGATTTACCTGCAGAGGATCATGACGAGAAGCAGGTGACCCCCGTGCTTGAAGTTAGAGGAGGAATCTTGAACGAACGCGACACTGATTTGGAAGCGGCTGCGCGTGATCAGAGTGCGCTGGAAAAGTCAGGAACGGCCAAGTCTGATAGGTCACGGGATCCTAAACTGGTAAGCTCAAGCCGTCATTTTGAGGGATACTCTGTTCGAGGGCAATAATAACGCGGCGACAGGTAACATGGGATGGCCCCGATGACCCTGAGAACCCTAAGAATTGGACAAACAAGAAGAAATGGGCTGCTATTATCACGGTCTCCCTCTTCACTTTTATCTCCCCAGTGTCTTCGTCCATGGTTGCCCCTGCGTTGCCGTCGATTGCAAGTGATTTCCATATCGAGGACCAGGTCTCTTCCCAGCTTACTCTGTCCATTTTCGTGTTGGCCTATGCCGTCGGGCCTCTGTTCCTGGGGCCGCTTTCTGAGATTTACGGAAGAGTTATCGTTCTGCAATTGGCCAACTTGTTCTATCTCGTGTTCAACATCGCATGCGGTGTCTCGCGAACTAAGGGGCAGATGATCGCTTTTCGATTTCTGTCTGGCCTGGGTGGCAGTGCTCCGTTAGCTGTGAGTCCTCTTTGCCAACAAGAATCTTCCAGCAAAGTAACTAACAACCTTTAGGTTGGTGGAGGTGTGCTTTCGGACTGTTTTAAACCAGAAGAGCGCGGAAAAAGTGTTGCTATCTACAGCCTTGCTCCGCTTCTTGGTCCAGCTGTCGGTCCTATAGTCGGTGGCTTCATCTCTCAAGACACCACCTGGCGATGGGTCTTTTATGCCACCTCCATTGCCGATGGAGTCATCCAATTTGCGGGGCTATTCTTCCTCCGTGAAACATACGCTCCCAAGATTCTGAAACGGAGAGCAGAGCGGATGCGGAAGGAGACGGGTGATTCGACGTACCAGACCGAAACCGAGCGACAGAACAAAACGCTTTCTCAAACGATGCAGACTGCGCTTGTACGGCCGTTCCGCCTCTTGTCCACCCAGCCCATCGTTCAAGTTCTGGCCCTGTACATGGCCTTCATTTATGGCACGATGTACCTCGTCCTTTCGACCTTCAGCTCTCTGTGGACTGATGTTTACAACGAATCTACGGGCATTAGTGGTCTGAACTACATCTCCCTAGGCTTGGGATTCTGGTTGGGCTCTCAGATATGCGCTCCACTGAATGACCGCATTTACCGCCGGCTCAAAGCCCGTAACAACAATGTCGGCAGACCCGAATTTCGAGTACCTCTTCTGATTGTGGGCGCTTTCCTCACCCCGGTTGGTCTCTTTATCTATGGCTGGACCGCTCAGTTTCGCCGCCACTGGGTCGCTCCTAACATTGGTGCCTGTCTCTTCGGTGCTGGGACCATCATTGCGTTTCAGTGCATCCAGACCTACATGGTGGATACATACACGAGATTTGCTGCCAGCGCCCTAGCCGCGGTGGCTTTCTTACGTTGCATATGTGGATTCGCCTTTCCGCTCTTTGCGCCATACATGTACAACGCCCTGCACTACGGATGGGGCAACAGTTTATTGGCCTTTGTGTCTATTGGTCTGGGTATACCGGCACCTATATTCCTCTGGAAGTATGGAGAGATCCTGCGCAAGCGCAGTCCATATGCGGCAGGTTAGATATGTGCAATGGTTGGTTGAAAGTATATAGCCGGCTTGTAAATAGCCTAGCTCAATGTCAAGATTGCACGTAATGATTCTCTTGAACCTTCGAAGGTCGCGTTCTGCCAGCATCTTAGGACATTGTATCCCAGAGATCCGACCTTTGCTGTCACTCAGACACCGTCCTCGAGTGGTGCCAGGCAGACAACTCGGAAAGTTGTTCACAGAGCCAGGCTCAAGTGTCTTTGTGAACTAACAGAAGATTACAAGGATCAATCGCGTTCAGTCACTACTGGCTTCTGAGCTCATCAATCCCTGCTGTTGTGTGGATTGGCCTAATACCTCGATCTCGGTACTTCGTAGTCATGCTCTATCTGAGTCAAAGCCCGACATGGCATTTATGGCACGAAGGGGTTTCAAAAAAGAGGTTGATTTGATTGGACGCTTGAAAAGGAGGTCAAGGTCCAGATCACATGCCACGGAATAAATAAATGTCCGAGGCCAATTGAGTTTGCGGATAAATTTAGAATCCGCTATTCCTGATATAGCAATAAAAAATTTCGAATTTTTCCATGTGAAAATCAACAGCCAGAGAGTCGTCCAGTCAAATCATGCATTGCAGAGAGAAAGCCACGAAGTGCAGCATATCAATTATAGTGTAATTGCAACAGAACTAAATCAACCATGTTATCGGATCTTAATGCCATGCAAACAACTCTGTATATCATCAAGCTCTTCAAATGGCAAATGCGAAAGGTGTTTACTCCTATCTCAACGCCTAGCGCCATTTTCCTAACAGAGCATAGCCGTCTCCTATGTTGAGTTTTTCAACGCCTGGGCATTGAAGGATCATGGATCTAACAGTCCGCTAATAGGCGGACCTCGGGCACATGGACAATGCTGCTGTCTGACTGGCCACATGCTTCAAAATGATCCACTTGAGCGCGTTTGACAGATTCAGAGACCGCTTTTCGGGAAACATTTGGTGGAAAGGAGACTGGCCGATGGATCTGCCTGCGATTTCGGGTACTAGGTGTTTTTTCAGCTATCGTACGATAGGGAATGGCTTGCTGGCCTTTTCTGTGACTTTTTTTTCCCCTTTATTTTTTTTCACCTTCAATTTTGCCAATTGCTCAGTTTCGAGTAAGGGACAGCTGGGAAAATGGCAGAGGTTCGCAAAAGAGCTGTACAGACTGAGACAGAGGTATGTTTCTGTGCAATATGAAAATGAAAAGCATGCTCACATACCCTAGGTTGTCCAGGACAACACTCCCAGTCTCAAATCGCTCAAAGATGCCATTCCCAAAGAATGCTTCGAGTCATCGCTGGTCACCTCCCTCCTCTACCTCGCCCGTGATATCCTCTACTGCGCCATCCTGACCTACGGCGCCTTCCATATCCATCTCCTCCCCTCGTTACCGCTCCGCGCCCTCGCCTGGGCCACATACGGCTTCTTCCAGGGCTGCGTCGGAACGGGGATGTGGATTCTGGCCCACGAGTGCGGCCACGGGGCCTTCTCTCGCTACCAGGGCATCAACGACTTCATCGGCTGGGCCACCCACTCCTTCCTGCTCGTCCCTTACTTCTCCTGGAAGATCACCCACGCCCGTCACCACCGGTACACCGGCCACATGGAGAAGGACACCGTCTTCGTGCCGTGGACGGACGAGCAGCTGGCGCAGAGGAAGAACGTGCGCATCGAGCAGCTCAAGCACCTCGCCGAGGAGACCCCCATCGTCTCATTCCTGCAGCTCATCGGCCACCAGCTCGGCGGGTGGCAGCTGTACCTGTTCACCAACGCCACAGCCGGCGCGCAGAGCTGGCCCGAAGGCAAGCCCAAGACCGGCCCGGCGAGCCACTTCAACCCCGTCGGCGCGCTGTGGAGCCCCTCGCAGCGTCTCTCCATCGCCATCTCCGATCTGGGTCTGCTGATCATGGCTGCGGTGCTGTACTACGCGAGCACTCAGATCGGGGCGTGGAACGTCGTCCTGCTGTACTTCGTCCCGTACCTGTGGGTTCACCACTGGCTGAGTATGTCCTCCCTTTTCCTCAGATCCAACCTGAATATAATCTAACGTAAACAGTCGCCATCACATACCTCCAACACACCCACCCCTCCGTCCCGCACTACACCCCCGAAGCGTGGACTTACACCAAGGGCGCCCTCGCCACCGTCGACCGCACGATGGGCTTCATCGGACGCCATTTCTTCCACGAGATCATCGACTACCACGTCGTGCACCACCTCTTCAGCCGCATCCCCTTCTATAAGGCCGAGCAGGCGACCTGGGCCATCCAGCCCCTGCTCGGGGCGCAGTACCACGAGGAGAAGGAGCAGAGTTTCCTCGGTTCCTTGTTTACGACGTTCCGGAAGTGCATCTATGTTTCGACCAAGGGGCATGCGTCGCAGCCAGGTGTGCTGCACTTTGTCAAGGCTGACGAGGGGAATTAATTTGGCGATAAGTGGTCGATTGGATAGACATAGGATTTGAGTGAGACTAATAGACTAGTATCATAGAGATACCCTAGTGTTTTGTTGGTTGGTCGGTGTGTATATAGACAAAACCCCAGATGTACTAGAACTAGAGCTGAAGAGTGTTGATTCTACATGTCCTCATCTTTCTGCTTCGCGTGTTATCCGACGGAAAGAATTAGACACAATAGTATGGCATCTGCGAGATCGACGAAAATGAACATGAACTCAACAGTCTACAGTGTGCCATATAAGAGGAGCTTAACTAAGTCCTTATTCAGATATCATTGAGACCGCAGTCGATAGATCATCATAAGCAGCATTGTAATGAAGACGCAACCACAGTGGCACATGCAACCCGTACTTGGCGACTCTACAACTCCTTAGAGCGATCGGTCTAAGTGTTAGAAGTGGCGGTGATTACTGCAAAGCCTCAAACACACTTCCAGGAATAGCTACAGACCCACTGATACCTCCATATCCGCTGCCAAACGCTGGTCTTCAGCACCGCCACACGGGAGTGGTACTGCAGACCCTACATTCAATTCACAGTACGAGTATGGACTCATCATTATGGAGTGACGGATGAACGATTCTCATCCAGCCCCGCAACGTATGTAGGCTACAGCATCAGCAGCCAATAACTGCTGCCTGCAGGATAAAACCTCACCGCTAGCTCTGCGCCCCACCCTCTACAGCCTCACCTCCCAATAACTGCGGCCACGATCCACCTTCTGTGTCATCTTGCATGCTAGTCCGACTTCAAGCTAGACCGTGGACCCTGTAGGGCAGCAATGCCTCACCGGACCGCTGGAGGGTGGCCCCGCGTATGCATATATAGCTCTTAGCTCCGCCAGATTCTCATTCCTCAACTCGCTCGTCGACACGTTTTCAAAGATTGCTAACAGAAATGTCATTCCACCGGTCCTGTGAAGACATCCACATCCGCCAGGAGGACGGCTGCACCATGCTCCTGGCCAAGGTCCGCGATAGCCACGGCCAGCTGATCCCGCGCAAGATCCGACTCGATGATCATATCGGCAATACGGATGGTATTCCCTTTTGCCTAGGTGTGTTTGCGTCCAATCCACGGTTGCTAATAGTATCAGGATGGTTCATCTGGGGAGGCAACAACTTCACCCGGACGGCGAGGAATATCTCCCTAGAACATACCGAGTCTGGACCTAAACTGTGTGCTGAGCTGGAGATGAGGAATGGTGGGACGAGAGGGCTGCAGGGGATCATGCTTTCGGAGAAGATTGGCAATAATGATGGGCATTTGAAGTTTTTGGTGAGTTTGGTTCCTCTTGCGTGGACTCTGTTAGGATTAGGTGGATACTCATGTTGGAGATAGGGTGCTTGATGGATTGGCATAAGGATGCGAAATGACATAGTATTGATCAATGGAGATCGGCCAGAGGAGAATACCCCTGTATTTCCATTCATAGGGAAGCGTGTGCGTAGATGAACAGCTCTCTTTTAGCTATCCCAAGGTCTCAACTGTAGTGGTACTGCAGTTCCGGTGTATCACTTCACAGTTACATTCCGAGCGAGAGTGTGAGTATGAATTCGGGTAGACTGATTGACGAATGCAGTGAGACGTCCTGACTGCAGCCAGCAGGATAACCTCTAGAGCCCTCTGCCACCATAAAGTCTCAATTGTCACCTCCCAAGCGCGGCCACGATACATTGCGGTGTCAACCATGGAACCCCGACTAAAAACGTGTCCGGAGCCCTATCCAGAGTCCGGACGACCATTCCAGGGTAGTAGAAATATTGCGTAACAATGTGTTCAACACTATGTCATCTTGCAATGCCAGCCCGACATCATGAATAGAGGCAACAAAGCCTCAACGGACAGCTGGCGCGGTATATAACTTGAGCTCCGCTTGTCAGCAAGTGTTCCAAGATAGCCACAACAGCAAAAATGGCACTCCACGAAACGTGCGAACACCTTCAAATTATTCGAAGGATTGGCGCCACTGATCTCGTGGCTGACGCCCGTAATAGCTCCGAACGGCGGGTCCCCAACAAGATCCGACTTGATGACCATATTGGTGAGAAAGATGGTATTTTCCTCCTCCCACATGTCAATATTCAATCTGAAGACTTCTAACTGCATCAGGACGGCTCGTGTGGGGAGGACAGAACTTCACCCACTCTGCGGGAGAGGTCTCTCTACAACAGACTGAGCATGGGGCCATAATGTGTGCCGAGATGAATAAAGACGGTGGGTCGAGAAATCGTCAGGAGCTCAATCTTTCGGAAAGGATTGTCAACTTTGATGGGCAATTGAAGGTCGTTTGAGTTTCTTGCATGACGGTGGTTGCATCAAGTCGGGTCATGTCGGAGAATAGCATCCTTTGAATAGGACATACGGAGTAGTACGTAATGGAATGGATGTCACCACCATAGACCAGAGACTGTTCTGTTGACGAACCAGTAGCTTGAATGCCTGATAGATACCTGAAATATCCGGCCACTGTGAGGCAAGCGTCAATCTGATCTGTCAGATCCTGATGATGTAGCAGCACAAGCCTGCAGCCTGGCTTGTCTAGGCGGCATTGACCATCATCTGTTGTACAACCAGAGGCTTCGAGCTGCTTCCAGCACCCTCACCAATGATATTCCGCACGCTTCGATGATCTGGCTCCTCAATCGAGCATCCATGAAAGAATCACGTGCCTCAATGCCAAACAACGCAGTCCTGAAAACCTTGACTGATTCGAAGATTCGAAAATGTGGGACATGGCGTCCAGAGATGTCTGTCTGGCCAATCATCCTTTCCGTGGCGGTTACGAACCAGCTTCAGCAGCCTACTTGGCTTCTTGGTATCGGCTGCGAAGGCTGCCGTGCTCGGCACCACAGGGGTCAAATTCGAAATAGCAGCCCGCATGGAAGCCGATGGCAGGTGTCACACTTGTCCTGGGTCCGTCTCGAGCTTGACGACATGGGTGTTTGGAGCTATATCAAATCCCTCGCTTGGGTTCACCAACTATCTATCAGAGAACAGGCCACTGGCGCTTGCCGGGGTAGTCTTTTGCACTATTGATGACAAGGCCAGGATCGGCAAGCTAGCGGTGATTTAACGGGCGAGTCGACCGCAAACTGGCCGAACCGAGACATTGGAGTTTTCGCCTTGCAGGATTGGAGCGGGCGAAGGATTATGCGGATAGCGGAGTTGGCGGGGACAAGCCTGAAGCCAACAGGCAGAGTTTAACCATTGATTATTAGCCAAGCAGCTAAGGCCTTGATCGTATGATGGGAAGATTGGAGAACAGTTGCTGGCGCGATTTCTATGGCCTCTCTGTTGGTAATGCTTTCGTAATAAAATATGTCCAACTTTGACAAAAAGGCATCTAGAACCGTAGTCCAATGGACTTCGCTTAATCTTCGGCAATCCCGCTGCGAGCCTGCGTCCATAGTTCTCTTCCCCACGTATATTATTGTGCGAGTTCCACTCTATTATGCCCCGTAGTTGAATCGCTAGCGAACCGTCCGATGAGATGTAGTTGCTAACTCGAAATTCTCACCGGGCGGAGGTGAACCTGGGGAGGCTGTCTGGGGATCCCCGCATGAGACAATGGACGACTAATATGGAGTCATGGACTTGAACGCGAGAAAAAGTGGGAAGTGGAACTTGACAGGAAATGATGATGAATCGAGTGGAAGTGAGAACCGAAGAAGAAATGGCTCAACCAAGCTTCCTTAAAGCGAGGAAAATGGCGCATTGGTCAAGACCGCAACAGACAAGTGGAAAAGCTTCGTTTGTTCCTGCCGGTCCTACCATGGTTTGCACGTGGTAACAAACTCTGTTTTACCCGTGTGTATCACTGTCGTTACACTACCTCCCTCCACTCTCTTGTAAGATTCGCTTCTTATGAGGTGTTTATCATTTGTTCCTGCCTATTGCCTAATATACACTCTGGATTCTCTCATTTGTTCTGAGCTGAGTTCAATGTACGGAGTAAGATCGTTTATTTCCCTACTCAACCTAAATAAATTATTAGGTTTCAGACTTGATGAAACATTGTTACAACGTTACAGGCCCATGGCCCACCAACAGTCTTGGCATGCCAGCCTGTCAACCTACACTACACCAATCAGCAGCCACTTTCATTCTTGCTGCTCACACTCTGCTCACAGTTAGCTTCCTCGCTTCGACTGTCAAGTCCGTAATTCCAGTGGCAATACTCCAAAATCAAAAGTCAAAAGGGAGACTGGTTCTCGGCCGCGAATCACGGGTCGGCATCAAGTGATCATAGACTCGCAGACTCGGCGAGATCCGAAAGATGATTCATCCTCGGCTCGCTTCATCCAGTGAGACACTTGCATAATAAAAATAAATTAATGATGACTGAGGCAACAAAAGGCAATTTGAGTGCGGCCCGCTCTTCCATGAACAGATTCATGTCCGGTCATACGGCCGTGTGCAACAGTAATTTACACGCGAGGCGGCGCGCGATGTGTCTGTGTCCTGCGTGTTGTAACTTGTAAAGCAATCAAATCTGTGTGGCTAATGAGATTAAGGAGAGTCTGCTTCCAAGGTTACATTGTGAGGAGTTAGGCTTTGCCGCCCCAAGAATGACCTCTACAGTTGGCGCGGATGACATGATCGTCTGTCTTTCAAACCTACTACTTTACTGATTTAGAGCTTAGGTCGACCCTAATCGAACTTGATATAAATGATCAATCATCGCAACAATATCCGACTCTTTATACTTCCTTAGAGGACATAGAGGCAATCCAAAACAGTCATGGAATCCTTCGTACAGAGCAATGTCCCTAAGGTAGCAGAAACAGAAGGCATTGGGGTTGGTATGATACTGTATGGTATTGACTAGCAAACTTTGACAGTCTGGTCTCTCTCGGACCATGTGGAGCTGCTACCCCACTTTCATGCACGTGGTAGGCTGGTTTTTCCGGCCCCCGCCAGGACAGCCAATGAGCGTACATCGCACGGAAATTAGGCCTGAGAAGGAACCGTCGCCGGGGGTTAGTGTCTCTGGAAGCGCGTACCTAGCTACCTTACTGGCTACATCTTCGAGAGTGTGCCAGGACTGGTCAGCCCGACAACACGGCCGGCCGAGACCCGAGCATCTGTTTGGCTAGAACGTCCGGGGTTGGCCGCGCCACAAATCCATTACCAATGAGAAATCCCAGAATAGAGGTCTAAGCAAGATACTTGACCCAGGAAGGTTTAGTTTCTGCGAGCACAGGCCGGATTTTGGTGGTCAGGTCGAGCATTCGATCCGGGGTTGTGCCTGTGAATGTCTGTATGGTACCATGTCCATGCGCCACTCTGCCACTCTCTGGTTTCCAATTCCAGAGTTGTACAGCGTCGCAGTCCGAGGTCCACCATTTCCCTCAAGTTACCAGATCCCGCGATCTCTGACAGACTGGCAGCTGCAATGATTGGCCCATCATTCTTTCTGCCTCAGGTTCGCTCACTCTTAGTGCATCCCAATCCAGTATGGCGGTCTTTTTTGTTTTCTCCATGTCTCCAGCTTTGTCCCCAAATCCCCAGATGAGACAAGAGTAAGCGATCCAGAGTGTGAGGCAATTAGAACCGCATGACAAAAAAAAAAGTGCCAAAGCAAAAAAAAAAAAAAAAAAAAAAAACGCTAGAGCCGATGGCAACCTGCGTCCCCCGTGGTCAATTCCCCGGACCGGCATGGGGCCGACTTGACTGAGGGAAAGAGAAAAGTGAGAGAAAGAGCGAGTGCGGCATCTCCAGGTTTCTCCTCTTCCAGGTCCATCCAGGTCTATAAAACCAGCCGTTGTTCCCCCCCTCAAGGTTGTCCGACCTTCTTCTTGTCACGTAGATCTTCTCACCTTTTTCTCTTCTTCCATCCTTCTCCTTTTGAGCCTCGTGGTGATCAACATCCCTATCCATTCTCATATCTAACGTTCCACTTATTTACTCTCGGGGTTGATCACTGCCATCTATCGCCATGGCCGACGTTGTCGTCGATACCTCGCGCGTCGAGGCGCCTGTGACATGGAAGACCTACTTGATGTGTGCCTTCGCGGCCTTCGGTGGTATCTTCTTCGGTTATGACTCTGGTTACATTTCCGGTGTTTTGGCCATGGATTTTTTCATCACTGAGTTCGAGGGTCTTGTTAGTAAACCCCCGCTTTGCAGAGCTATAGCCAAGGATATTGTCGCTGACAGGTGAACTTCTCTACTCTACAGGACAAGGCCACCACTCCTACCGACCTTTTCGTCATTCCTTCCTGGAAGAAGTCTCTGATTACTTCCATTCTCTCTGCTGGTACTTTCTTCGGTGCTCTGATCGCTGGTGATTTGTCCGATTGGTTTGGTCGTCGTACTACCATTGTCGCCGGCTGCGGTGTCTTCATTGTCGGTGTCGTTCTTCAGACTGCTTCCGCCACCACTGCTCTGCTCGTGGTCGGTCGTCTGATTGCTGGTTTTGGTGTCGGTTTCGTTTCCGCCATCATTATTCTGTACATGTCCGAGATTGCGCCCCGCAAGGTCCGCGGTGCCATCGTCTCTGGTTACCAGTTCTGCATCACCATTGGTCTGATGCTGGCTTCCTGTGTCGACTATGCCACCCAGAACCGCACCGACTCTGGCTCCTACCGCATCCCCATCGGTATCCAGGTCGCCTGGGCTCTCATCCTTGGCACTGGTCTGCTTTTGCTGCCCGAGTCTCCTCGTTACTTCGTCAAGAAGGGCGATCTTACCAAGGCCGCCGATGCTCTTTCCCGTGTCCGTGGCCAGCCCCGTGATTCCGAGCTCATCCGCTCCGAATTGGCTGAGATTGTCGCCAACCACGAGTACGAGATGCAGGCCATTCCCCAGAGCGGCTACTTTGGCAGCTGGTTCAACTGCTTCCGTGGAAGCCTCTGGAACCCCAACAGCAACCTCCGTCGTACCATCCTGGGTACTTCTCTGCAGATGATGCAACAGTACGTTTCCCTTCTTGCTTTCGTCGCTCACTGATGCTAACGACCGCTACAGGTGGACTGGTGTCAACTTCGTCTTCTACTTCGGTACCACCTTCTTCAAGAGCTTGGGAACCATCAGCGACCCCTTCCTGATCAGCATGATCACCACCATCGTCAATGTCTGCTCCACTCCCATCTCCTTCTACACCATGGAAAAGCTCGGTCGTCGTACTCTGCTCCTCTGGGGTGCTCTGGGCATGGTTATCTGCCAGTTCATCGTCGCTATTGTCGGAACTGCTGACGGCAGCAAGAGTGCCGTCAGCGCTGAGATCTCCTTCATCTGCATTTACATCTTCTTCTTCGCCAGCACCTGGGGTCCTGGTGCCTGGGTCGTCATCGGCGAGATCTTCCCTCTGCCCATCCGTTCCCGTGGTGTTGCTCTGTCCACCGCCTCCAACTGGCTCTGGAACTGCGTAAGTTTTGACTGCTTGACACAAATGCAAAGAATACCGTGCTGACTCAACCCCCAATAGATCATTGCTGTCATTACCCCTTACATGGTCGACACCGACAAGGGTAACCTCAAGGCCAAGGTCTTCTTCATCTGGGGATCTCTCTGCGCCTGTGCCTTTGTCTACACCTACTTCCTCGTCCCCGAGACCAAGGGTCTCACCCTCGAGCAGGTCGATAAGATGATGGAGGAGTCCACTCCCCGTACCTCTGCCAAGTGGAAGCCCCACGGCACCTTCGCCGCGGAAATGGGTCTCACTGAGAAGGATATGGCTGAGAAGACTGGTGACGTTGTTCACCAGGAGGTCTAAAGGATGTTGGCGATGCCACTGCTCCGTCTCTGAGGGCTTCTGAGACTTTCTTGTGATTTTCTTCTTACTTACCAACGTCACGTATACCCACGGTTACGCTTCATGTTACAATAATGCTCAATGTCTACAGAGGAATGAGACTCTAATATCTGTTTTAATGGTGATATCTTAGGCAAAATATCAGAAAGAAAAAGAAAAAGAAATGGGAAACCATTGAATCAATTTCGACTCTTACATTTATGTCTTTTTCATTAAAGAGATTGTCGGAAAAGCCCGTCCTGACGTCCGAAGATTCTTTCCCATTCTTTGCTGATAACCAGTAGGATGTGTCTACAGGCTGTACTACAACGACCCAGTACCCGCTATGGTAACTGCATCTCTGACATTGCTGGAGTTTCCTCCCAGAAACTTCTGTGTGTACATCTGAGGCCTATCTATCATGAGGACTTCTCTGCAACTCACCGGGGAATTGAGAAAACATAACACAGGAGTCAGACGATACTGTGATAGGACGGGATCATGCTGCCCATGTACTTGCGGGTTGACTGACGAATGCTAGTCAGCGATTAGAAACCCCAAACGTGATCCTATGGCGAAGCTCGATTGACTCGTCATCCCACTGAAACGCGATTTCAGTCATATCTAGAGAGGTACAGCTGTGATCTCGCGTTTCTTGAAAACTTCAGACTTCAGACCTCGGATGGGATCCGCTGCTAGCTTGCTAAGAAAAGGATGCGTGTCTATCTCCAACGAGCTTGTGCTTTGGTGCAAAACACGGTAATGATCTGCGCTTATCCTGGAGGCTGGCATACTCACCCAGAAAGCCAAGACGGAGATTTGTGAATCAAATGAGGATGCCTGATTGCTTGAAACTCAACGGCTGCCGAGATGGAAGGTTCACGAATTACACAGCCTCTTGATGTCCGGATTAGTGGTTTACCAATTCACAAAGATCTCCAAGCCTGGATACAGTCAAGGCTCACGACACGCCGTTGGAGTTGAGCGCCTGGACTTTGCGGATTTCTGCAACTCGCACGGCGCTTGGCTTGCTGGCCAAGACTTCTAATTGCTTCAGCGTGCAGATTGCAGACGTTAGAATTGACTTGCTTCTGCGTACTCCTGAAGTCCTGGACCTGCGGAAGCGGGGCCACGTCGTCAGCCAGCGATGATCTCTGGTTCTGGCCCTGATTTAGGATCATCCGTTCCGGATAGGGTAAGGAACTTTGTGATGCCCAGGGAGTCCTGCAAGAGGCAGTATGCATAATCGGGACTGGTGCGGGAAGCCACCCCCGTAGAGGGTCCATAGTCCCTCTTCCGCCCTGTCGCTGAGCAATGTGCCTTATCTGATTCGACGGAGTTGATCAACTCCGTCTACAAGGGTTGCGTCAGCATCGATCAGTGCAATATCGACTTGCGTACAAGGTAAACTCCTCATGTTGACGGTCAGAAAGATTGTCGACGGTTGAGTTGTGCGTACAACCTTCAAGGATGAAAAAGTATAAACCTGGCGTCTGCGCCGGTTCACGATGTGCTTCTATCATCACCATCGCTCTGCTTCTCTTTACATCGCCTCACTGCCTCTACCATGGTCCAACTCGCTTCTACCCTTGTCGCTGCCGTGGCCGGCCTCGCCAGCGTCTCCTTGGCGCATCCCGGCCACAATGTCAAAGCCGAGGCTGCGGAGCGTGCAGCTTTCCTGAAGCGTTCCAATGTCGCTCGCAGCTGGGGAGGATGCGCGACGAAGCTCAAGGCCCGCGACCTTGAGAGTCGCAGCATTGCTCGCCGTAAGCATGCAGTCGAGATGCTTCGCCGCAGCAAGGGCTTGGAGACTCGTATGCAATCTTCTTAACCTTCTGGCGTGAGATCGCCATTGACTCAATATTTTCTAAGTGCTCCTTTCCTCAAGGCTCGCGACCTTACTGCTCTCAACACTTCCCACGAATCTTCTTTGGATGTCGACCTGTTCACCGACCCCTCGGTCCTGTTCTCCTCCAACGCAACCTGTGTCCTGGCATCTGATGTTACTCAGGGACCCTACTGTATTTTATTTTGCTATGGTAGATCATTGGCATCAACTGACGACCTACAGATGTAAGCGGCGAATTGATCCGCAGCGACATCACCGAGGACCAGGCGGGTGTCCCTCTGTACGTGGACGTCCAGATGGTCGACAGCTCCACCTGCGAGCCTGTCAGCGGCGTCTACCTGGACTTCTGGCACTGCAATGCTACTGTAAGTCTCCCTTGACATAGGCTCAAATGGATACAACTAACAAGCTAGGGTGTCTACTCCGGCGTCGTTGCCAATGGAAACGGAAACTCCAACGATGACGGCAACCTAGATGCTACCTTCCTCCGCGGTCTCCAGAAGACTGACGCCGAGGGTGTCGCTCAGTTCCACACCATTTTTCCAGGCCACTACACCGGACGCGCCACCCACATTCACGGTATGCTCATTCTTCTGCTGATATATGATGCTAGGCTAACCTGTTCATGTCTAGTCCTGACCCACTCTCTCAACGAAACCACCGTCAACGCCAACAACACCCTCGAAACCCTCTATACCGCGCACTCCGCTCACGTCGGTCAGATATTCTTCGACCAGGACCTTATCTCCACCGTCGAAGAGACCTCACCTTACTCTACCAACACCCAGGATCTCACCACCAATGACGAGGACAGCATCCTGGCCGAGGAGGCTGACACCATCGAGCCGTTTGTGGAATATGTTTTTCTGGGTGACTCCGTCTCCGATGGTATCTTCGCTTGGATCTCCCTTGCTATGGACTCCTCCGAGAGCAGCTCTGTGACTCCTGCTGCTTACTATACTGAGGATGGTGGTGTTGAGAACGAAAGCTCCGGTGGCGGCGCCGGTGGTCCCGGTGGCTCCGGCTCCCGTGGCCCTGGCGGCGCTCCTCCTAGCTAGATGGTGAGTTAGCCTTGGTTTAGGCTCCTGTTACCGAGCGACCCGTTATTGTGCTTTTAGCAACATGTATAGTCATTTTACGTGCATGGGGGAGGAAAGTCGAGGACAGATAGTTATGTCATCACTCGTTAGGCGTAACCAAGCAGGTATATCGAATTGTACTTTTTACATTCTGCATTTACTCTCGAGCATTATCAACTCACTCTCAGTCTCAGCTGATCCGCCGACCATTTCAACATGATATTCGCTAGTAGTAGCTTCATCATATGCTGCCTAACCCATTCCACCCTACCTGTTACTTTCTTCCATCTCTCCAACCAGGGACCACCAAATATCGTTTTGACCCGTCTGCTGTACTTCTTAAGTAAAAGAAAAGGGTGGTACTCACAAAGCTAATGTTCAAGCTGGAATTCTCTTCCTACACAGGCCTGAAAGGAGGTAGAGTGATAGTATCTAAGACGTAAGTGGAGGCGCAGCGTTCTCTTGAAGCTCAATTGACTGAAAGGACTGTATATGCAGATACTGTACACACTCGTGCAGACGCACACTTGACAATATCACCAGCAAGACCTGGGAATCTGAATATGGCGGGCGCCAAGCAGCAACCCGCCTCATCCCACAACATCTCCACGAGGTTTCAAGACGCAATACTCTAGTCATCAGATCCATCCCATGGACAAGAGACCTCATGGAAGCGGACATCAACAGTATCCTCGTTATTCCGATTCACGAGGTAGTCGTTCTCAATCGTCAAGCCTTTAAAATTCGGAATCCCGTTGGGAGGCTCCACCTTGGCAATTCCCAAGGTAACGGGGTAGGCAGATCCCATCGCATGCGTCTCCTCAGCTGCGTGCTCGTGGTCACGGCGACCCTTGAGGCGGAGGTAATAGTAGTAACTGTAGAATCCAGGATACGTGTTGCCGCCGAGGTTGGTTGCAATCCAGCTGCCGCCGTTGGTCACGGAGCTGCCCTTCGGATCCCACAGGTAGAATTCCCCGCCGTCCGGCACCGAATATTTTCTGCCAGCTTTGTAGGGGAGGCCTCGTGAATACCAGACCTGGAAGATTCTCTTGGAGTTGCCGAATTTGTAGTAGCTGTATGCACCGCCGTCCGAGCCCAGGCGGTCACCGTGTCGGTTCTCGATGTAGTAGCACCCGCCATATTGCAGGCCCAGTGTGTCTGCCGAAGACGATGTGTCCTCGGCGGGCTGGGTCATCGCGGAGATCAGGTCATTGAGATTTGGCCAGTGTGTACTGGGGCTGACAGGCTCGGGGAGGTTGATTTGGTCAACCGGAGGGTGATACGGACTGGCATAGGCTTGGCCTGCCAAGTTGGCAGCCAGGAGAGTATTTACAAAGAGGTAGATATATGCGTGCATTTTTGATAATAATCAACGGATATGCCAACTAGCTAACAGTCTGTATTCAATTGACTGCAAGGTGAGCGGATAAGAATTTGGACAATGGCTGGAGAGGACGGCGACTAAATAATAATGCTAACGATAATCTAGAGGTCATGCAGGCTGCTGAAAACGACAACGGCCATATTGTCAGCCATGGTACTCGTTCATGTTGATGTACAGACAGTGATTAATTACTGTTGAGTCGACGACATCATGTCTTCCGCCTTTAGTTTAACGTGATCTGGACTGCTGTTTGCGGATGATTTCTCTGTTGAATAATGCTACAACATCAGTATGATATATTCCTGACGTGTATGACATGCGTGAATAAATATGAACTACAAAGAATATGCAATCATCGTTAATAACTTCTTTTGAGTCTAGACCTCGCCCGGGTCTTGACGGACTATCGCGCAGAGATTTGGTGTACTTCCCAGGAAGAGCGGCATCCCCAGTTTGTGTCGCTGAGCATACCAACAGAACTACTATAGGAGTAGTGCGTGTGTAGCAGAGGGATACTAGGAAAACTACTCTAGAGAATTAACTACACCTAGGCCCCGGCTGCTGACAAGTCATTGAAAATTCCATGCTGGCTTCAGGCAGACCTTCCACCCACTCGGCCAATAGGGCTGACAGACGTGTGAAGATATTTAGGATAATTACAGCTGCATCATCCCATCCACATCCACCGGTATCCCTCGCAGTTCGTTATCTTCATTTTTGCAAGTTCCCACTGCTCTTTTACGAGCTTGATCCGATCTTCAGTCCTCGGAATAAACCGTGCAGCAAATGGCCTGGGAATGGTAAAGCCTGTGTCTGCGTAGGCGTCAGCGCTCGTATCAATCTCCAATTCGACCCCATGAAACAGGCGTGCGCTTCCATTTCACAACGAGTCACCTCCCTATTGCGGCATGGACAAATCACATACGACCTTCCCTGGGCACTCTTCAAGCCCGGAGATCTCATGTACTCAACCTGTTTCAAGACGGGCAAACCTAGATGTGTCATGTTCGACGCCGGCGAGGAGACAATCTACAGCGGAGTCCTATATTATAAGCTCGGCTGCAGGTATCTAGCATTTGGCGAATTCTCCATTTACTCTTGAGCATTATCAACTCAACTAGAGGGCTAGTCTTATGGATGATCTACTGTAGGTCCCTCTTGCTCACTATCTCAGCCTCGCAGCTGATTCGCCGACCATTTCAACGTGATATTCGCTAGTAGTAGCTTGATCATACTGCTGCCCAACCCCTCTCGCCCTACCTGCTACTCTCTTCCATCTCTTCGCTTCGTCTCGGCCACTCTCTGGTAGACATGCATTTCATCACGTGCAGACAGCGCCCCCGCATCTGACAAGGCTCTCAACTAGGTTGATGGCTCTGCTTCAAATGATTCACATCGCATTTGCCGGGATACCATGGCACTCACTAACGAGCCGCTGGTTTATCTATATCGTCAGTACAAGGAGTCTACGAAGTATGCCATCGGTTGGCTTTACTCGGTCTCCCGGCTCGCTCCTGTTAATCCACTCCCACGGTCCGATCTCCTCGAGGCAGCAAAGAGAATAGCAATCCGGAAGATCGAGGTTCCAGCTTCTGTGATATCACATCTGAGGAGCGCCGTCAAGGGGCGAAGGAAGGTCCTGCAAATCTACCGAACTCTGGCTGCATCAGCCAATGGGGCCACGGACGAGGATAATGCCAAACATGAAACTTTCATCAATAGGTACCATGCAGAAATGGGAAGATGGATAGTCATCTAATTAGATTAGATTGGAAGAGGTTTTACGGGTACTGCTGCCTTTAAAGGCGTCATCATATCTGCACTCGACGGAAAAATCCGAATCGAGCCCCATTTCGAATCGCTTCACGGCACTGCAGGTTTCCGACGACTCCAACGCGGTTAATCCAAACGTTGAAACAGAAAATCCTGAAAATGTGCTACAGGTTGCTGTGCATGATGATGCACCAGCTGCAATCGACTCATCACAGTTACTAGAAAACCTTATTCTGGAGGATGATGATATAGGAGAGTGGATTGAGCTGAGCTATTTCCTATGTGTAAGATCCTCAACCCCTCGTGTTAAAGAGAAACTAATTTCAAGACAGGAAATGGACGTCATATCCGAACAGGTCAATGAATGTTGGAGACAGGCAGCCAGGAAACAGCTGCCGGTTCCGCTGGCTGCTTGGCTGTCGACAACAGCTTTGCATGCGGCGGGCAGAATTTTTGCTCGCATAAGCCACATCGCTTCAACTTTCGATATTCTTGTTGACAAATGGTTCAAACACGCAAAGAAGGGGATCAAGATCCGCTTCAAAGACATACCCCAGTTTGCCTCCTCGTTCGGCGGCCGTTGTGCTGAGGGGTTTACACTCTGGAAAATACGCCTGCTTCTTCACCATTGTCGAAGCCGAGAGGAATATAAGAAGATACTTCCCAATGCCGGAGCCAGGGCAAACCCAGCTGATATAATAAAACCACTCATTCCTGGCGGACCTGATGATATAACCTGGGTTCATGACGATATAGCCCTTGATAGAATGCAGGAAAGCATGCGTCAGCTGCTGGTTTCTGGCCGTGCCATAGCAGCGATTGAAGCTTCTGAAAAAGACGTACATATCTCAGAGCCTTTGTTACCACCTCTGCGTCTCTTTGTCGGCGATGAGAGCTTGCCTATTCCGTTTCAACTCGCGTATGGCATGGAGATGTTGTTATCGACTTACAAGTCGTTTCTTTGGCCCCAGGGAAACAAGACTACGCAAAACTGCCGCATTTTAGCTTTGCTATTTGCCAAAGAGGTGCAAAAGAGTATCTTAGGTGCAGTATCCGCGCTTGAGGGGGTCCACAGTACTGAAGACGATGCTGCCATCTTTTACAGCCTACTCCTTCAAGTTCAGGCTGATCATCTGGATGGATTTGTTCGTGAACAGCGTTTCGATCTCTACTATCAATCCCCTTGGGTGGCAGGATGCCACATGGTTGAAATACTGGACGTCGCCTTTTTATACGGAGTCTCGCTTTGCTGTGAGCTTGGATATGTCTGTGCAGTGCTGCACCTGTACAATGCCTTGCGGCACTTGGATCCCCCGATCCACAAGATCACTCTTCTAGAGCAACTGTGCCAGTTGTTCCTCCAGCCGCTGTTTCTGGGGACACTCCCCAAGGAGAATTTCAGTTCCCATTTCCGCAGAGCAATGGGGCAGGGTCGAGAGAAGACCGCAACTTCAGACAGACGTTCGGGCCTATCAATGCCATGTACAATCTCGGAGCGCAAGGCCGATGGAAAGAGGTTGTCTCTGTTTCATGCCCTCAGCTCCTTCAACTATCAACCCACAATCGAATTCTGGACTAGAGTCTACATCGACCCAGCATTGAGACAGCCAAGTCACGCCCAGGCTGCCCGTGTTAGCCAAGAGATTCATTCAGTGCCATTCAGCGATCCCCTGGGGCGGATTAAGACCGCTGTTATGGAGGAATTTACCGGTGAACTTCCCATTATGCGCACCAACCTGTTTGCAATATTCTGCTTCTGTACTCGACTGCTTCATGAGATGGGTGAGATTGCGGACAGTGATTCGGGCTTATGTTCCCAGGAGGGACCCAGTGCACGTCTGGGCTTCGCCGTTGTGGATAAGCTCTTGGGTGACATCGTCGATCACCTTAGGGATGGTGGCAGGAGACATCTTCTAAGGTACTGGAGGCCACTTAATATGGCGAAGGGGGTGTTTGCAAAAGTAGAAAATGATCCGTCGCTGTCTGACTACCAATGGTCGATATAATAGGAGGGTCAGGCTATGTCGATATCTTGTCAAGATGATCCTCTTTATTGCCTCCCTCTTGGGATAGCTTAGTCCTATCGCCTACCCCTAATATTTGCTTTATCTCCTTGTCACAGTTTATGCGAATCACTAGCTACAAGGTGCTGCCAACGTCTGTGGGCATAAACTAGAAACCCAGATCCATTTGACTGCATATTTGGTTGTATCTATTATTCTGACAGTGCATATGTAGTACTACATGGATAGCCTATTATGCTTCTGACCTCTGGATGCCATTTTTGCCCCTCCCCAAACCTTGGCAGCTGAACTACGCATTCAGTGAATTTGGGACAGACTGTCAGTAAGAACTGACTCATGTCACCGTTTCACCTTGTTGATACCAAGTAGAGACGACCACGCGCAACTGCATTTAATAAGATTAGTCCAGATTATTGGCTCCAGTATATTCCGCTGTCATATAACCGCCACAATATGAGATACTAAGTACTGCTTGGATTAGTAGTATCTTACTCATATAAAAGGTCTCTGCTAGTTAAACCGTACTTATCTCGCTGTCCCTACCGCAGACACCTTTTCTCCTTTCGACCAGTCTACAGATTGGTCTATATCATCCTCCGTCGTTTACGCGGCAAAGTCTGGCCGTAGCCTCTCCCACCCCCGGGATTCTTCCAGGGCCGGACTGTCCTCGTAACAGGAGCAGCCGCCAGTCTCGGTTTGGCAGCCGCAGTTCACTTCGCATCTCTAGGAGCCAGAGTGATCATGATCCTCCTGGGTCTCCTCCTGTTATCGTGGATGAAGCAAAATACTAGAGCAACGGTGCCGCACCTCGTCTTCATCGCTTCTCGAGACCAGCCCGATCCGAATATCACAGCGTGGCCGGACTTGGCAAGGAAGGAAGGCTCTTGCGCCATTTCAGCAGCAGGGAAAACTGGCCTTCCCTCGACACGCACCCCAACTACGCCAATAGCAAGCTGATGCTGATGTACGTGGTCGAGCAGATTGCAAGCGCGAAGTGGCAGCGCACGGAACGTATGAATCGAATCCTCTTTATCCGCCTCCACTTTTAATCTTTCTGCGCAGGGTCTCACTCATATGGGCTCGGGAACAGCTTCCATAAGCCCTAGTTCTGATAAGGACCAGTCCTTGGTAAAGTTTGGTTAGCATCTGCATCCCACACAATATGTGAGTGATATAACCTAACGTATGATTGGTCATTTAGAATGTTGGGGCAGGAAATATTCTACCGGGTCCCTAGGACTCCACGTTGTATTAGTGCTGACTATATCACCATCAGCGAACCCCTGGACCTGGAATGGCCAATGACCATGGAACTAGGCAAATCTATACGGTCTGAGCAGTCGCCACAACTCCGAAAACTATGCACTTCTATTGGATGATTTATCAGAGCAAATAGGCAGACGTCTTAGCATGTTGTGGCGTGTAAGCACTCGGGGCCCGCGGCGTCCGATCTCAACGTAGTGGAGGATATCAATAACACGACTTCCTCACAGCCACTCAGTCTAGATTTCTGTGCCCATCATGTCGGACGTGGAGAAGAATCAAGAGTTGAAGCCAGATGAGGGCGAAGAGGAGGCAAAACCCTCTGGCTTCAAGAGCTACATGCGCATATTCAATTATGCCGACAGAACTAGCTGGATTTTGTACTCACTCGCCATCGCCGCCGCCATAGCAGCTGGTGCGGCCCTTCCGTTGATGGACCTGATCTTTGGCAAGTTCGTGACGACGTTTAACAACTTTGCTTTGGGCGTGGTTGGTCCGGATGATTACATGAGGGAGGTGTCGAAATATACGTCAGTCCTCTGCACATCCAAGCGTGGACACTGTCGCTAACATGACCAGCCTTTACTTGGTATATCTGTTTATTGCCAAATTCGTGCTCGTCTACATCCACACAGTGGCCGCATCCATCGCGGCCATTCGGGCGACGAAAGCACTGCGGCTGGACTTTCTGCAAAGTCACTTGCGCCAGGACATGGCGTACTTTGATTCGAAAGACGCCGGGTCACCGTCGGTTCAAGTCACCACGAACGGCAATCTGGTCACCAGCGGCATTTCGGAGAAGCTCTCCGTCTTTGTGCAGAGCTGCGCAACGTTTGTAGTAGCTTTCGTGGTCGCCTTTGCGGTGCAGTGGAAGCTCACGCTCATCACCATCTGCATCGTCCCCACTATCGTCATCGTCACCGGAGTTTGCATGGGCATAGAGGTGAAGAATGAGGACAAACTAATGGGCATCTATTCGCGCGCCAGCCTGGTTGCTGAAGAGGTCTTCTCCAGTATCTCGACGGTTCATGCTTTCTGGCTGCAACCGGTGATGGCGAAGCGCTACGAGGACTTCCTGGCCGAAATGGAGCGCGTAGGTATGAAGAAATCGCCGAATTATGGTGTATTGTTCTCGACCGAGTTCTTCTGCGTCTACTCGGGATACGGTCTTGCCTTCTGGCAGGGCATCCGGATGTTTGCTCGTGGCGAGGTCCACCAGCCGGGGGATATCGTAACGTGCGTTTGCTGCCTGGCTAAATGGCCTTTACTGATTTTTTGGCAGCGTCATCTTCGCGGTGGTCGTTGCCGCCACAGCTCTGACCCAAATTGCGCCTCAAATCATAACCATCACCAAAGCCGCTGCTGCTGCGGACGAGCTCTTCCGCGTCGTCGACAAGAAGTCTGCCATAGACTCACTCTCAACCGCAGGGTTGACGCCTGAGAAATGCGCTGGCGAGATCGAGATAAAAGCTCTCGAGTTCGCCTACCCCTCTCGTCCAGATACACAAGTCCTCAACGGCTTGAACCTGAGCGTTCCCGCCGGTAAGACGACCGCCCTGGTCGGCGCCAGTGGTTCGGGGAAGAGCACTATAGTCGGGCTTCTCGAGCGCTGGTACGACCCAGCAGCCGGGACGATCCTACTCGACGGCATCGACATCCAGACACTCAACATTGCCTGGCTACGCACGCAGATTCGCCTCGTGCAGCAGGAACCGGTTCTCTTTAGCGGGACAATCTTCGACAATGTCGCTTTCGGCTTGGTCGGGACACCGTACGCAGAGGCCCCGTACGAGCAGAAGCTTGCGCTTGTCAAAGAAGCTTGTCGAGACGCTTATGCCCATGAGTTCATTGAGAACTTGCCCAGGCAGTATGACACCCAGATTGGAGAGCGTGCGCGCATGCTGTCGGGAGGGCAGAAGCAACGGATTGCCATCGCTCGCAGTATCATTTCTCGGCCGTCGGTTCTGCTGCTGGATGAAGCGACGAGTGCTCTAGACCCCAAAGCTGAGAAGATTGTTCAGAGTGCACTGGATAATATCTCCGTCGGCCGGACGACCATCACCATTGCGCACAAATTGTCTACGGTGCAAAAAGCGGATAACATTGCTGTCATGTCCGCGGGTCAAATCATCGAACAAGGGACGCATCAGGAACTCATTGCCAGAGACGGTGCTTATGCGAGGCTAGTCCGGGCACAGGATCTGGAGAAGACAGGTGGCAAGGCTCAAGAGCAAGCTGACTCGGAAGATGAGGAAATTACTGAGGAGAACGATGATGCAAAGTCTGCCGCGAAGCTGTCGCTGCATCACACAAGGAGTGTGGGTGCGGAGTCTCTCTCAGCGGATGAGAAGGCAAAAGTAGTAGCCAAGGAGACTATGGGATACAGTCTCATTCGGTGTCTGTGGCTTTTGATAAAGGAGCAGCGGCAGCTGTGGGGATTGTACGCGATTGTCGCGGTTGTGTGTATTCTTGGAGGTCAGTTTTGCCCCAAAGCTCTCCTGTACCCTCTCTAACCCGTCGCAGGTGGTACTTTCCCAGCACAAGCCGTCATTCTCGCGCGGACATTCCAAGTCTTTCAGCTACGCGGCAGTGAGGCTGTTCGTCGGGGAGACTTCTGGGCGCTGATGTTCTTTGTTGTGGCCCTTGCCAACTTCTTCCTCTACTTCGCCTTGGGATGGACGGTCAACATCATCATTCAGGTGAGTATCCCTTGCCGGTCTTTTCCGCGTGTCCTTCAATCTGATGATGCCCAGAAAGTCAGCCGGAGGTACCGACGCGAACTCTTCAGAAACACCATGAAGCAAGAGATCGCGTTCTTCGACTTGGAACACAACGCTACCGGGGCGATCTCGTCTCGGCTGTTGATCCACGCGTCGAACCTGAACGAGCTTTTGGGGATCAACTTCGGTTTGATTCTGATCAATATTGTCACGGTCGTCTCCGTCTCTGTCTTGGGCATCGCGTATGGCTGGAAGCTGGGCCTCGTCTGCGTCTTTGGTGCTCTCCCTCCGTTGCTGCTTAGTGGCTACTCCCGCATCCGCCTGGAGTACAAGCTGGAAGACGATACCTCGGCGCGCTTCGCCAGCAGTGCCGCGATTGCGGCAGAAGCAATCTCGGCCATCCGCACGGTGGCATCTCTTACGCTAGAGAACAAGATGCTTCAGATCTACCGGGAAAGGTTAACCGTTGTCGCGGAGCAATCTGTGAAGGCACTGATCTTTACAATGTTCTGGTATGCCTTGACGCAATCCATCAACTTCTTGGCCATGGCCCTAGGCTTCTGGTACGGAGGGAAGCTCATCTCGACAGGCGAGTATACCAACGAGCAGTTCTTCGTTGTCTTCACTGCCGTGGTGGTTGGAGGCGAGAACGCAGCTGCCATCTTCCAGTACACGACCAGCATCACGAAAGCGACAGGATCAACGAACTACATCTTCTGGCTGCGCCAGCGTGTCCCCGCTATCGACAATAACTTTCCAGATGACCCTCCTTCGGATGGGGTCTCACAAGACCCTGGAGCTGTTACTGTCAATTGCCACGCTCTCGACTTTGCCTATCCTTCTCGCCCACGCTCCAACGTCATCTCCGGCATCGACGTCAGCATCCCACCAGGCAAATTCGTCGCCTTTGTCGGTCCATCCGGCTGCGGCAAGTCCACGATGATCAATCTGCTGGCCCGCTTTTACGACCCAACATCCGGCTACATCGCCGTCAACGACCAGCCAATCCACGAGATCAACCCGCAGGATCACCGCCGCCGCTTGGCTCTCGTCCAGCAAGAGCCAGTCCTGTATCAAGGTAGCATCCGCGAGAACGTCGCCATGGGCCTGGTCGAATCAAAGGAAGCCACGGAAGCACAAATCGAACAAGCCTGCAAAGACGCCAACATCTTTGATTTTGTCCTTTCGTTGCCTGAAGGTTTAAGCAGCGAGGTTGGCGTTCGCGGTGCGAAGCTGTCTGGTGGGCAGCGCCAGCGTGTCGCTATTGCTCGCGCGCTGATCCGCGATCCGAAGATCCTGCTCCTGGATGAAGCGACCAGTGCGCTGGACACGGAGAGCGAGAGGGTTGTGCAGGCGGCGCTGAGCGAGGCTGATAGAGATGGGAAGAGGAGTACCATTGCAGTTGCGCATCGGCTGAGTACGATCAAGGACGCGGACTGCATCTTTGTCTTTCGGGCTGGGAGGATTGTTGAGGCGGGAAGTCATGCCGAGTTGATGGAGAAAAGAGGCAGTTATTACGAAATGTGCAAGGGCCAGGCGTTGGATAAGGCTTTGGGTTGATGCAAGTTATGTACAATATGCTTCTCTACTCTTATAGATGGACAAAATGACTCTACTCTCGATATTCCACTAATAGGGTGCTTATATTATCGAATGAGTGTACACTATATCTATGTCCTTGAATTTAACCAGGAACAAGACACACCCTCCTTCCATTCCGCGAGCACAGCGTCAAAGCCAGGGATTCCTCCCACGGGCCCGGATCCCGACTCTCCAGGATCCGGAACTCCTGCGCCATCCGGACAAGAACATAGCTAACTTCAGTCAACGCATATCGCTGCCCGATGCAGCTGCGCGGGCCGCCATTAAACGGCAGGTAACCCCAGCGCGGCTGCAGCTTTCCATCCTCCCAGCGCTCAGGACGGAATTCCTCTGCGTCTGGGCCGTAGAACTCAGGCCGCCGATGCATCGCGTAGACGTTGTAGGATACGATGGTACCCTTGGGCACGAAGACAGGTGAGAGACCATCACTGCCTCCTCCGAGAGGTAGGACTGTATCCCGTACCGCCTGGCGTTCATTGCGCGGGACAACGGGGTGTAAACGGAGCGCTAAAAAGTAAGCGAGGGGACAAGGTAGTAGAGAGCTCACTTACATTCATTTATACAGCATTGAACGTATCGAAGGCCGCGGAGCTCCTCATACGTTGGTGCCCGGCCCTCTAAACTAGCTATTTCTGCACGCAGCCTGTTCCAAATCTCCGGCTTCTTAGCCAGCATGAAGAACAGGTTACCGAGTAGACTAGCAGTCGTATCACGACCGGCCAGCAACACATTCATCAGCTCATCCAGAACGTGACGCTTATCGGATGTCCGCCACGCTAATTCATGTGAGAAATACGCTTTTGGCGCTTCGTCTCAGCCTGTTTCTTTTCTCTTTCCCCCTCGGCTGCGTGGAATGCCTCCTCGACAAACCGCTGGACGAACTCCCTGCAGACGCGATTGCACTCATCTGCCTTTCGATCGCGGTAGAATACGGCCAGTGGGCCCAGCATGCCTCGCGTGATGATAGCCTTTTGTGCATAATGGAATGCCTGCGCAAACCCAAGCTCGGACTGAGCCTTCTTCAAAGTACCCACCGACTGTCCGAACAGGAACTCAGTCGCGGAATCGATCGTGTACCGGAAAAATAGCTCCTGCAAGTCCACGGCTGTCGTCCCATCCCTTGGGAGCAGCGCGAAGAGATCCTGAATCAGGTTATCCAACGACGTCAAGTCAGCCACCTGGTCCCGGGTAAAGCTAGGCCGGATCAGGGCGCGCGATGCCGCCCAGTGCGCGCCATCGGTGTCGAAGATGCCCTCGCCCAGGAGAGGTTTGAAGGGCTCAAGGCGATGGCTGAGGCCGTAATTATTGAATTTCAGTGACAGGATCGTCTTGATGTTTTCCGGCTCTATGGCCAGGATGGCGCGTTTCTGCAGCTCAGTCAGTGTAAAGGTGTTGCCGTAGATGCGGAAGAGCTCGACACTCCTTTCGAGGATTTTGTGCTGTCTCAGGGCGCGGATGGTCCCGGGGATTGTATCGAGGCCTAGGAAAGGATCTTTACTGAAGGATCTTGCCACTGCCTGGCAACCGTGCTTGCGTGCGAACTGGCGCCGGACAAGGAAACGCCTGATGGACACGCATGCGAAGGTGACCAGCGCAGCGACCAGCAGGATGAGATGCTTTGGATGAAGATTCAAATACATATCCAAGGTTATTGTATAGACAGCAACCAAAGGAAGAGTGAGATGGGTTGAAATGGGCGGACAAAGCTTCACCAGACAGGGTGTCAGCGATGGATGCCTGTTTATATGAGAATACAAGCCGGCTAGCGCTCGCTCCGCTCGCTGCGTCTTGACCTCTTAGGTAACATTAATTCTCTAGTAGGGATATTAAATTGTAATGTAGTAGGGTTATTAAATTATTATCTAGTAGGGAGATCAAATCATCATCTAGTATTGATATTAAATTGTCATCTAGTAGAGAGGTATTAATATTAAATTCTTATCTAATAAGCCTATTAATATCAAATTCTCATATTATAGGGATATCAAATGCTATCTATTATCAATATTGAATATCATCTAGTATTCGATGACACAGTTAGCGGGGTGCTGAAAACAGCCCTCATTGAACTATCTGCCTGCTGCTTTCCACTGCCTGCCCTATGCTGAAGTCTCACTGCCCCTTGCAGCCTAGCACGTTGCTTTTATGCCCATTACCTGCCACCTCATGCCTCCTGTGTGATCTATATAACCCTGTCTACCCTCCCTTGAAAGGTGACGCACTTTCTCTTCATGATTGAACCCCCAAGAATAGCTTCCCCACTCACTATCCACTTCATCCGAGGGATAATCGAGGTGTGTTTCCTCCGGTGATGGGGTGGCTGGCCTCTTATGAGAAGCCATGCTTTGTGCGACAATCTGTGCCTAATATGTTAATATAGTTAGATACAGTAATAAAGCAGAGCGTAGATGAGATGGTGTATTAAGGATGCGTGATAGTGAATTGGAGGGGATCTTATAAAAGGTCCAAGAATTCCAGCCTTTCACGTGCCAGGTTGAGCTACCACTTTCCTGAAGCTCTACAAAACAGGTTACCTCTGTGTGGGATAAAGTGCACCTGCCAAGCCTCTGTTATAAATCCGTGGGCGATCAACAGGCGATCGCTATCCCAGAGTCGGATATTGCCATCATAGATCTTTCTAATCATGCCTTGATAGTGAAGGTCCAAGGATGCCAAGCATAAATTATGTGAGGCTACAGACGTTAGGCGGTGAGCTCACCAACAGATAAAAGGGACCATTGTTTTTAAAAGGGGCTGCGATAACAAGAGGATAGCTCCATTGATTCATCCTGTTTCTGTCCTCCAACGCAAGCAGTTCGCTCACCAGTGTTGTCATGCCGAAGACTCGCCCTCTTTTACGGGAAGAGATCACTTACTCTGCCGCCAGGAAAGAAGAAGTCAACATCCTCCACCGGCTGAAATATTATGACCAGCAACATGAATTCTTCGCTCGTATCGCTGACAGTCGCTGCTGGATCCAGGCTATCGTTGCTTATCATTTAGGGTTGAGATCACCAGATGAGTGTAAAGTGGCTGACATGGCAGACTGGCTTCATGGCAGCTTCAATGTGTGTGTTCCAGTGACTATTGATAACTGGAAGAACAGGCAGCAGACTGGCAAGCGCGTTCTCCTTCGACTGCCACTTCCCTATCGCGTAGGAGAATCCTTCCATCCAGGAAATGGAGACGAAAAAATTCGTTGTGAGGCGGGGACATATGCCTGGCTGCAGGACAACTGTCCTGACGTTCCGATCCCAAGGCTTTATGGCTTTGCTTTGTCTACTGGTCAGACTGTATGAGCTCCCCATCCAGCCCTGGCCTTCACATAAACTGATGGAGACAACTTAGTTTACTCGTATCGAAAATCTTCCGTTTTTCAGCATGTGCTTCCAATATCTACGTCGTCGGTTGTTGTCATGCCTTTCCCGCCCAGTTCCTACCCGTTATGTCTCTTGTTCCTCGGCTCATCTACTCAATCATGGAACGATCGGTACTGGATACATACTTGTCGAGTACATTGAAGGGACTACTGGGGAAATGCTTTCTTCTACATGGAGACAAAAACGCGACGATCCTCGGTTACGTTCGAATCTTTTTCGCGATCTCTCTCGAATTCTCTTGAGCGTCTCACAACTTTCCCTACCAAATATTGGGTCTCTTGTCATTGATGACTCTGGATTCGTGCAGTTGAGCAATCGGCCCCTTTCACTTGAGATTCAAGATCTGGAAAATGAGCGAATACCAACTCATATTGCGCGAGACTATACATACTTCACCGTTGAATCCTACGTTATGGACATTCTCGGTGCCCATGATAGTCGCCTTATAAACCAACCAAATGCCATTAATGACTCGGGAGACTATATGTACCAAGCATCAGCTTTGACAGCCATGCGGGCTATTGTACCTTCATTCTTTCGGCGAGAGTTCTGCCGCGGGCCGTTTGCGTTGTCTTTCACCGACCTTCATCCAAGCAACATTTTTGTCGATGAAAACTGGCATATTACTGCTTTAGTTGACCTCGAATGGGCATGCGCTCGGCCAGTAGAGTTGATAAGGACTCCTACTTGGCTCACGAACCAGGCTGTGGATGAAATTGCGGAGATGCCAGACGAGTACGACAAGATGCGTGCTGAATTCGTAGATAATCTGAGGGCCGAAGAAGACCGCTCTGGATTTACAGGCCTTGTCGGCAATAACTCGGAGACAAGACTGTCGGCTATCATGAAGAAGGGCTGGGAATCAGGGACATTCTGGTATTCACTTGCGCTTGCTAGCCCGACCGGTTTATTCGCAGTTTTTTACAAGCAGATCCAACCCAGATTTCTCAGATATTGTCGGGGCGATGACGGCTGTGATACTTTTCACCAAGTCATGCCATGGTATTGGTCACAGGATTTCGTGAAAATCGGCGCAAGAAAACTCTCGGATAAAAAGGAATATGACATTCGGCTCAGGGAAGAATTTCAAGAAGAGTGATCATTGAAGGTAGTCAACTTTTGAAGACCGTTGGATTACCACGGAACTCCGCACGCAGTTATTTGGCCTTTGCGGGACCTTCTTCTTCGACCTGCTTGAACATCTCTTCGACTGCTTCCTCAAACTTTCGTTTTGCTCTCTCATCCTTAGACTGCTCTCGGTGTTTTTTGGCAGCTTCGGCGGAAGAGGTAAGCTGTTGTAATGTTCTCAGATCTGAGCTGAGCCCAACAGTTGCCTCTTCCGCTTGTTTATCGTTGGATTGACGTCTCTCTGTCATCGTAGCTACGAGTGGCTCTACGTCAGTGTGGGGACCTTTTCTGACTAGGATGAGCGTACATTGTCAAAGACTGGTTCGACTGTAAAAGTGTCGAACTCTCAGTTTTGCTTTGCTCTCATATGCGGACGAAGTGTGCGGTGGAAATCTAGAGCATCCGTTTTATGTAGTCAATGAGGTTTAGTTAGGATAGAACCAGATATTGACCCTGTGCCACCAGTGGGACCATTCTGGAGCATCCTCAGTACAGCAAATAGATTTGAGAAACAGAACCAGATGGTCACGATGCGGCTGACGTGTCTAAGGGGCAGCAAAACATATCGCACACCAAGAGTCCAAATGCAATTTCATAGGCAGCTCTAAAGAAGAAAATGCCTTAACCCCTCTCTGCCCCGCATCGTAATCCAGTGCTTGTCCAACGTAATGATGCCCGATCTGTTAACACTTCGAAGGCAGAGCACTAGCCTAGTATCCTAAATCCACCGATATTGATTGGCGAGCATAACCCACATCTGTCCTTTATAGTAACTTCAAAAACAGTATCGACCACCCCGAGACGAGATAGGCCCTGCATAGGAGGTACAAACAAGTTAGTTGAGGTATGCAGCTAGAATAGGTATCTGACACGAGTTTGCCCCGGCTGTGGGTACTTGCAGCAAATGTCCCCTGTGGATGGAATCTAAATACATTGATCCATCCAGCCCAGACCACTTCTAGCAGAGTAGGCTTTGACATATACACCATTGTGAATAAATCAACCTACAATTCCCACGTCGTCTTCACCTCCTCAACGACCTCTGTCACATCTCCCCAATCAAAAGCCGCCCATCTCTCCGGCCTCTGTAATGCATCCACAAAGTGCCTCATCGCCAGCACAAACTGCGCCGCCCACTTTGCCGCACTCACTCCTCCTACCCCCGTCGCCATTGGGGTAATCAAAATGGACCGAATCCGCTCCTCTGTCTTGCAGCCTCGGTTCCACCCCTCAACCTGACACAACAGACTCCACACACACTCATACACAATCTCCCGGTCCCAGTTGACCCGGTCCGGGGACCGCATCGTCGGACAGATCGCTACCCAGCGACAGCCCCATTGATTTTCCCCAATCAGCTCGTCCGGAAAGGGGACGAGTGTACACGTCCCTGGAGGCGCGAAACCCCTCCACCGCTCGTAGAGGACTTTCTGCGCTGCGCTGGTGAGAGTGTCGTAGTGGTGCTTTGGGGGGCAGCAGAAGGCGCGGGATATGGCGTCGTCGAAGGCGCCGTCGAGCCGGCCGTAGGAGTTTGCTGGTGAGACGATGAGGTCGAACTTTGTGCTGGATGGGACTTGGCGGAGGGAGCTGTTGAGGATGGTGATGGTCGGTTTTGGGGTGGTGCTGGTTTCGGGCCAGTGCTGTGCTAGAGCATGTTGGAAGGCGGGGATGAAGCGATCTTCCATGCAGAGGAGATTGATACGGGGGATGTTTGCGAGGGCCATTTTGTGTTGTTCTTGTTTGGATGTCTTGCTTGGATGTTGAGTTGATATCTTGATGTGGGATACGGAGCAATATATTCCGCAGGGAATGTGGCTTAGACTGCTGCCTGTCAGCTTTCAGCTTCTATCAGTGTGAACTATGGGGCTGTGTATCTGCCTTCCTGCCAAGTGGCCGCTTGACCTGAGATCTTCTGAATAGATTCCCAAAGGAGTAATCGTCATGTAAGGAGATGGAAATGTGGCCTCTCCTCTGATTGGCTCCCTGTGGAATAAGCTTAAGTCTCGGAGTTGTGAATGACCGACGCCGAGAGCCAAGAAGTGGCACAAGTTTGACCGACCATCTTCGCTACATGTAACTATTATGCGCCTCAATCCTCGACAATGATACAATGGACCATATCCGTCGGTATAATGTCGAGCGATCTTGTCTCCGGTGCCATCAGCGCAAAGTTCGCTGCGACAAGGATTCCCCCTGTGCCGCCTGTGTCCGGATGAAAGTTCCCTGCCAGTATCCAGGCCCTAGTCGAGTGCAACGGCGTCCGCCAAAAGCTACTTCTGCAGATGTAGTCTCTCGTATAGATCAGTTGGAGAGAGCTGTGACTGAACTGACCCGGCGTTCGTCCACCGTCAGTTCAATACACGACGACGATGAAAATGTGACACGAAGCATTGCCCCTGAGCGTCAGCCTCGACAGGGCCTTTTGGTGCGAGACGGTCGATATATCGACGAGCATCTCCTATCTGGGTTTCTTGAAAAAGACAAAGATCTACAAACTGCTATTGGCACACCTCGGTCTGCTGGAAAGAGCCCTGGACGACGGTCACCTCTGAGGGTCGAGGGGCTCATTACCAACTCACTGCGCGAGCACATAGATTTCCAGGCCCTGCAGCCTAGTCGATGGCAGGCCATTCAGCTCTGGCAGACTTTCCTTGGTCGCGTCGATCCAGTGGTGAAGGTTCTTCATATTCCGTCGACGCAGCCCCGGTTCTTTGCAGCCATCAACCAGCCTCAGAACGTGTCTGCGGATACCCAGGCGCTACTGTTCGCCATCTGCTTTGCAGCCACAACCACTTTGTTCTCTGATGACCCCTTGCGGGAGGAAATCCGCTCGGATATACGCCGGTTTCAGCAGGGGTTCGAGCTTGCCCTCTATCGTTCCTCGTTCCTGGACGCACCGACTCTGACGTCGCTGCAAGCAATGGCCATCTACCAGGTATGCACATTAATCTCGTTCTGAGAGGCTATAACTTATGAGTAGACGTGCCTTCGATACCACAATAGCGGCCGCTCCAACTGGACGCTCCATGGCCTCACCACCCGTGCCGCGCAATCCATCGGTCTCCATCGCGACGGACGGCACTTCAACCTCTCGCCGCTGGAGTGCGAACTCCGCCGCCGACTGTGGTGGCACATTGTGACGTGCGACCAACGCGCCGCGGAGGATCACGGCCTCTCCATTATCGCGCACAATGAACCCTGCGACACGAACCTGCCCTCCAACCTCGACGACCAGGATCTCTCCGCAACGGCGACAGTGCCACCGGCACCTCAATCGCGCTGGACGGAGATGACCTTTCCGTTGATCACGATCCAAATCAACCGCCATTTGCATGAGATCTCACGAAAGACATCCCAGGGTGTCTCGCCGGATCCACTAGTCAGGGAACTCCAGGACTACATTCAGCGTAATTACCTGCAACACGGGGACGCCAATATCCCCATCCACCAACACGGCCTGCTTCTAGCAGAAGTCCTCAGCATGAAAGTCGCAGTCTACACAAGGCAGAAAGCACTACAGGTCCAGAACCAGGGCCAGAGCCAGTGCCCACAGTACGAAAGTTCAACAGCGCAAGAGACGCTGGCGATGGCTTGCCATGGCCTGGAGTGCTCACTGGAATTGCAGACGAACGACCTGGTCCGTGGCTTTCGCTGGCTTACCACCACATACACCCAGTATCACCTTCTGTGTTATGTCCTGTGGCATCTGTGCGTGTATCCGGCTAGCGTGCATGTTGAGCGGGCCTGGCGCAACGTCGAAGCAACCTTTGAGGCGGTGGAAAGGGAACCCGCGTGGCCAGACCCGGGGCCCAAATGGGCGGTTATGTCGCAGTTGAGGGCCAAGGCATTGAGGGCGAGGGAGGGATTGACGAATAGGGAGGTCGATGCCCAGGAGAACGGACCAGAGAATGTCTTGGACTGGGGGAATTGGGATCTGGAGTTGTTCGGGTTCGGGGAGTGGACTGTTTGATCATTGACGACATCTACACGTCTACAGATATATGACAGAGACAAAGAATCTAGATGAGCTAAAACTTGGCTTTCAGCACCACCCCGTCTGGACCACCCTCGCCTCCATCACAAACCCTGTCCCAACCAGCAACATCACCCCCGAGAAGACCTTCATCCAAGTATGCGAGCCGCCATCACGCTGCAGAATGACACCCACAATGGGACTCGTCGTCAGCCCGCCAACAGACGCGAACAGAAAGATCAACCCCTTGCGGTACCCGATCTCCTCAAGCGAGGGAATGCCCACCACCAGCGCCGGCGCAAGGCTGACATACGCCCCCGACGCAAACCCAAACACAACTGCAAAGACAATGATTGCCGCTTTCCCCCCGCCGGAATCCACAGCCAACAGCACCACCACTCCAGCCAGAAAAACCACACAGATAATATTATACGTTGAGTATGGCAATGAGATACTGCGCCAGCGCAGCACTCATCTCCGCGTCCACTGCCTGCAAAACAATATAATTGACGGGGATAAACAAACACATAAACCCAGCACAAGAAGCACCATCTTCGCCTCGCCAAACGGCCTCATCAAAATCTCCCGACTCATACTCTTACCCGTCCTCGTCCCGCGCGCGCGGACCGTCAGATTTGTAACACTCAGTAACGTGAGTATCACGCACGCGCCGCGCGCATACCCGACGCTCCCATCAACCGACTCACCGTAATCAGGAAGACCACACCCCCAAGACTCGACCCAGTCGAGACGATCCCAACCCAAACCGGTGCATAGAGTATGCTTCTCCATGATCTACCACTGCCCAAAGGCTGTTTAGCATAGGTAAAGCATAACATCTCTAATAGTATTATGATCAAATTACTGTTCTGTTGTATTTAAGGGAGGCTAGTGCTAGGTAAAGATAGCCCCTGCCCCTTTTAAGAGTCCATACTGAACTAAGGCACCTGAATCTTCCATTCTGTGGCTTACAGCGATGGACGAGATTGGAATGCTCTTAGTGTGGAAGTGGGCTGCTGTTTGCTCAGCATATTCCTTTATGGATTGGGTGGTAGATAAAATTTGAATATTTATTCTGCTGCAGACTGAGGGTATAATAAGGGAGGTGTATAGGTTGAGGATACAGGGCATTGGGACAGTCACTGACGAGGTTCGTTGGCAGTAGTGCCCCGGGAAGTCCATGTCCACGGCAGACTCTGCTGCACCTTCCTGCTGAAGAGTTAGTATCGCCGGAAGATTGATCTAATGAAGTGATATAGTTTTCAGGATCTATAATCGTGAGTATAGCTCTCTATGTGGATTAATTCCCCACCTCAAGTCAAGCAGCAGCGACTTCCCCGAGAAATGACCGTCGTGAGAGTTATCCCATTGTCCCCACAAGCTGGTAGCTAAGTCTGCGAGAAATCTCATTTCTGAATGCCCCGGCAAAAGCCCCCTGTGACCACGTATGATCATCTCGTCTTGCTCACTGCTTTTGCATTCATTCCCATCTTTAATCGTCGGTTATCCGGCCAGTCTCATCTTCGTTACAACATTCGGGGCCATCGTGATGAGATTGGAGATTTGGTGACCGCATCAACCCAGGCACCATACCGGTTATATTTGACCGAAAATCCCCAGGCGACTAAGCTATCATCCCCCCCAGAACCCCTGTGATGTACCTCTCTATATAAGGGTAGATTAATAAACAAATTTTGAGGCATTTCCATGGAAGGCAAGGACAATGCCTTGACCATGTTTCTGCGGCACAGAGAAAAGGAAATATGTCAGATTAGAGCTCTGACTTGTCGGAATTCTTTTCCTGCAACAACCTGAGATCAGCTTCCCTGAGCTGTCTGCAGGGCTCCGTGTGCTCTCTGGGCTCTGGCTTTAGTGGGTGGTCACATGATCAATACGAAATGAATAAAGTATTTAACTGACCCCTTCACCTAGGGCGTGAGTGTGACTCTGCAACAAGGTGGAAGGTCAGTTAGAACTGCATATTGGCTCTCCATCTCGTATTGTCACCAGCACACATAAAAGCAGAAATTTTCCACATAAACAAACACTTATCTGGCATATGATGCAATTAAAAACACCAAATGGCTCACCTCTCTAATCTACCCACTGAAGTCCTGTATCTGATGCTGGCACAATGTGACTCTACCACACTTCATTCCCTCTCGCTCGTGTCCAGACCCTTCCATCATCTGTCCAATCGATTCCTCTACTCCAACATCGACTGGATATATCACCACGACGAACGACAACCGCGATACCCACCTCTTACTCTCCTCCTGCGCACCCTCCTAGCGCATCCAGAGCTGGCTCTACTCATCAAGCGAGTCCATCTAGACAACCACTACTTGGCGGACATGGAAGATCACTTGGAGGACATGGTACCGGGATCGTTTGACCTCCAAACCATCGATGCAGCAATGGATTTGATAAACAAGATGGGGTTCCCGCAGAAAGATCGGTGGTATACGGCGCTGAGCGAAGGGAGTGTTGACGCCGTGATAGCCTTGATCCTTTCCCAGCTCGAGAATTTGGAGACGTTGAAATTGGCACTGTGTCTGGTGGATGATTCCGTGTTCGTGGGAATGGTATTGAAGCATTTGATCATGGTACGTGGGGGAGGAAGTTTCAGCAGTTTGAGATATGTAAAATTTGGCGACAACGTTAATGGCTATGATGCTCTGGATATTCAGGCGAATATCGACCAGATTATCCCATGCTTCTTCCTTTCGTCCTTGGAGGAACTGATAGTGACTATCCATGAGCCTGACCTCTGCTCATGGCCCACGCTCAAAGAAGAGCTGCACCAGAAGCAGCAGTCTCAGTCACTCACGACGCTCCGCCTCTACCGGTGCGACATCGACCCGAAGCATGTGGAGAAACTGGTGATGTTAGCACCAAGACTCAAAGTGCTACACTGTGGTTTCCTCCGTCACATCTCGGCATCTGAACACTCAGAGGAGATTGATTTCGCAGATCTCCGTTCCGCTCTACTACCCGCCGCAGATACCCTTGAGGAACTAACTATTGACATGCGATGGACTGAAAAAAACTGCGATGTCTTCTCCCTGCCGCTCAGTTCAGCAGGGAGAGTTCCCATGGGCTCGCTGCAGCAGTTTCACATCCTCAAGCGCCTGGACATACCGACTGAATTACTCCTGGGTAATCTTAATCGCTCGCGGCATCCGCACAAACGACTATCTGACCTCCTGCCCCCGAGTCTTCAATCTCTAGGCTTAGTAGACAACACAGTGACTTGGGAATCGTCTTCTGACCGGCGTAGCCCAAACCCAACCGAAAATTCTATGCAAGTGAGCATCGATGCCCTCGCTGAATATCTAAGAGATCCTGCACAGCACGCCCCCTTTCTGCGGGACATCGTCCTTAACTATGAAGGCAGGCCGTGGGAAGGGCACAGCCTGCTCGATCCAACGTATGTCGGCAATATTGCGCGTCCAACACAACCGCAGCTGCTGCGCAGAATTGCGGAGGCAAGTGGAGTTGCGATGTCTGTATTTTACACGAAACGGATCAAACGGGGGGTTTCAACACGGGCGTCAATTATCGTGTATGATCCTGAGAACCCGGATGCTGAGCCTATTGAGTGTGGGCCGTCATCTGTGGAACTCTAGGCCTTCTGCATTGGGCGGGTCATGCCTCCGTCACTGCTTATATTGACGAACCTGAGGAATGTGAGAAAAGAGGGAGACTAAAGCTTCATTCAGTTGTCCTTCTCTTCTCATGATAACGGACGCGCATCATCTGAATCCTCCGGTTGCTCATCCTGACTTCCCCCCACTTGGTGAAGTCAGGATGAGCAACTGGAGGATTCCCTCCACGCGCCACGCACCTCACTTCATCTGACTCACATTCATCAGTTTGGTGGGGAACCTGTGCACTTTCCGCATGGTGTTGGGTCGGGGCACCGTGCCTGCTTGTGTCCATATCTATCTCAGACAGTTCCGGCACTGGATCGGCCTCTCCCGCGGTAGGAGACCTCACAGAACACTGCTTCCCCGCGGACCTGTATGATCCTCTGGTTTAATAAGGGCTGAGCATCCTGCTCTCTAGATAGGTATACAGCCATCAACTGTCAGCTTTACTGCCGCTCAGCCAGCGGACCATTGTGGCATCCGCGCTTCATTTTCATCAGAAACGTGCCGGCAAAGTCACCCCCTTCATAGTCGTCTTTCAAAGACCGCTTCCGGGAACCACTGCTCCCCTGAACCATGGCGGTTGGCGGTACATTCTCCCACGCTTTGCTTTCTCGCAGTGTTTTAACACTCTCTTCGCTATGCTGAAGATTATACTGGAGCCCTTAAGCAGGGCCTTACCTTAACCTTGGCGCTTTCAATAGTCAGATATGACTTCTCGGACCCGCGTGGAGCCTTTCGAATTTCCGTCGTTTCCAGTGATGCTCTACGCCCGTCAGCCACATCGCTGACCCAATTAGCCCTACTAGCTCTTGTTGTATGAGACACCAAACATGTGAATATTTATATACCTTGTCACCAAGTGTGGTTGAACTTACCTTTAGTACTGAACAAGAGTGGGCGACAAGCTGGCTTGTACATAATACGGTAACATAGGCTTTACCTCCACTATTCTGTAAGAACAGGTGACTGACATGTCAGGGTAATAAGGAGTAATAAATGCCAAAAGAATCAGCAGTGTCCTGCACCTGACCTGAGCCTCCTGGCTGCTTTCTAGCTGGATTGCTCTGTGCTTTGGCCTTAAGGGATCCTCGCATATCGAGCCCAGTAACTGAAGGAACGGGGGAGGTGCGATAAATCCAGGCAAGTTTCTCCTGATTGGCCGTTTAAATGGAGCCGACCAATAATGATAATCAGTGAGGCACCTACAACCGTCCACGGTACATAGAGTACCTACGACTTTCCCGCGAGGCTGTATGGAGGACTCGGTACTACGGCGAATAATATAACACCATCTACAAACCAAAACAAAGGCATGGCGAAGATAGCAGTTCGCAGTTCCCTTAGACAATTTTTCATGGAACAGGGCAGTGAGTGTGGCTCTTTACCTTAGATTCTGTAGTATCATTTTAGTGCTACTAAATTATCAGTAGTTTTATAGCTTTTCTTGATATTGTCAAATTCAGAGTTAATTCTAGTTGATTTTATTGATTTTATTGATTTTATTCAGTGTTGTTCTTTCAAAGGATTTCTAAGGAGAGATATGKAGTGAATGATAGATTTGAGCAGTGGTACATCCATCCTAATTTTGGATGGATTAGTCGCGAATGGACTCGAGCTGGCCTTGCTGGAATCAGGGCACTATAATGGGAAAACTACAGTGACTATCATGTAATACTTTGTTGGACTACAGAGTAGGATTTTACGTCCCGTAGGACAGGGAATAAGTCAAAGCTCATGGGCTAGTCACGCTAGTGGGGACTGCCAACACAGCAGGCAAGCTCCTATTTGTGTCTTGGGGTCCTTTGCCTCGTATTACCTATCAAGAATCCAGCTCAAGCAAGGTACAGGTGGATTCCCATGATTATGCAGACCTACAGTTTCTGCAGGTGTGCATAGTTTCAGGGGTCATCTTTTGCAGACCTACAGTTTCTGCAGGCTTGCATAGTTCTAGGTTCCGCAGGTCTACAGTTTCCGCACCTTTGCATAATTGAGGTTGGTGTGCAGTTTCACCCAATTCAGGTTCATCTCCCAGATTGGCTGGCTTTCCAGCAACATCAACCTCTGCGCAAGATGGTAGACTGCCGGCTGACCCTGCCTCTTGTACACTGATTCCTGAATATAAATAAGACCGACTGGGTCTACCAAAATGCAATGAGTATAAGCAGCAATTGAAGATCTCAATTTTATATCATCTCTACAGATCTAGAGATACAGACTTAATACTGTTTGCAGGAGTTATCGAGTGATCGTGACCCGCCATGTCTGAACTACCAGGTTTCTTGGCCTCGTCTATGGATACATCTACTCAGAATACTAGCCCCGGAGATTTTCTTCCTGATACACAATTGGACTTTGATGCAATATTGTACAATCAAAGTGACATTCTTCCTTACAATCTGTCATTTTATGATAATCCATCTTCTCTTTTTTCAGTTGCTATGCCGTCCGACTCTCAACTCGGTGGAAGTATACAGCCACCAGCCAATCAGATGCCGAGTTTTGTTTCGGCGTCATATCCTTCCCCCAGCACAATGGCGAACCCAATGGGAGGATCCAGCGGTCGGACTGATCATCATCACTCTGTTGTTGCCGCTGCTCACTCTTCTCATCTCGACGGCCTGGCAGGAGCTACTCCAGCCCATCTCCAGGTTGAACCTGCCAAGGGGAAGGCAGCCGTGACATCTAACGAGACTGCAAAGAGAATAAGGTACTGCTCAATCCTAAAAGCACCAATGGACAGGACTTATGCACTTTGACAGGTCCCCTGTCAACAAAGACAGCCCAAGGTGTGAGTGGAAAGGTTGCAGGTACAAACGCTCCTTCAACCGCAAGGAGGATCTCTTGCGCCATGTGAGAACTGTTCATATCTTCCCAGGCTTACACGTCTGTCCTGTCAAGGGTTGCCACAAGAGGTGTAACAGAGAGGATAATCTTAAGGAACATATCAATCGGTGTCATGGAAAGGCAGCAAGCGTTGAAAACAATTCCGAATGACCTGACGAGGGAATGGTTGGTGGGGGCGTAACAAAGAGGCGAAGACAAACCAGGATTCAATAACCACTGTAAAAGGCCATGCTCCTACTGAAGGTATGGATTATAGTAATTAGGACTCAGGCATACTAAATCCACTTTAAGATGCAGATGTGTGCTTGCTCATATGGAGTGAATGCTCACAAGACACCTAAGGCTTTTCTGCAGTAAAGTACCATGTAGTCTTTCTCGTCTGAAATATGCTTCTGGTGATCTTGGAGCATTGTTTTCTAATATCTCCATTCCTAAAGAGCCTAAAGGATGCCTCAGGGAGTTACATTTTAATAAATAATGCATGATTGAGAGTTCTCCGTAGATGTGCTCTCATAAAAGTGGTTGAAATTTAATTGCTTGTTTACAGAAGCATAGGGGGATACTATATACCTGTTAATTAAATCAAAATAAGGCAACTCTAATTAATCTCCTAGAGTTCTGGAAGTTGCTTTAGAAGTTAGTGTGCCTATCTAACATTCTATAATGCAAGATTGTTCTTACTACTTAGATTGTACTTTTTACCTGACAAAATTCTAATATATCCCCATTCATGTGCCTGATTATGAAAAAAGTACCACTGTTCTTGCATCCCCGGATGTTGTTCCCAGTTCACTGAGATGCAGCTGCTTGAACGAATCCAAGAGCTGCGGCATCTAGATAGGCTTGTCATTGTGTTACATTTTATTTATTTATTTATTTATTTTATTTTATTTTGTTCTGTTCTCTCCCATCCCGTCCCGTCCTGTCCTGTCCTGCTCTGTTTTGTTTTATTTTCTTTTTTTTTTTCCCCTTTACTCATCTACAAAGCCCTCAAGGTCAGACCTACCAGGGAAATTTCATCACACTTGAAGAGACCAAGGCTCGATCCAGGGCACTAGGGAGTAGTGGGTACCATGATGACAAGGCAAAATGCGGTGAATTCTGCGCCGAGTAAAACCCAAGTTTTTTCTAAGAATAATATTACTGAGATGTACATGAGGACGTTCCTGGTGCTGGTTCCTGGTGCTGGTAATTGCTCCTGGTGCGATCGAACGTGCCCTAGACAGTCATCAGGCCTACAGTCCTCCATACCAGGATAGATTTTAAAAGGCCATGAAAGACGCCATGAGTCGCCATGGTGCTGCTTAACAGCTTCTTCTGCCACTGTCTTCTCATCCTCTCTTTCAACTTGCCATGTCGGATCTGCCCATTCCTGATTGGCTGGATGTCTCGCCAGCCTTGTTCCTGTCCACACCTGAAAACATGACGGACACGTTAGATCCTCGCTCTCTTCTTCCTGATGATCAGTTTGTCGACAATACTCATTTATACAATAGTTGCAGCAATGGCACCCCGTGCAACAACTCTATCGCCCCGTTCTCTGGTCCCCTGCTCTATGAAGATCCTTCTCTCCCATTTGAAATTGACAGGCATCCCCCGGGCCAACCCCCGAGACAACCAACCAATCAAGTACCGTCATTCCCCGCGACCAGAAGCCTTGGTCTCCAGACCGTATACCAGGGGTGTGGCTTTCTTGGTGAGAACGTGCAGTCGGAGTCGGCGCCTGGGACCGTTAGTCCCATCGATACTTATCATCCTATGAAGCCCGCCATTGACCGATCCCTGGCCAGCGGTCACACAAAGGCCACGGTGACATCCAATGGACCTGCCCGTCCTGCCCAGAAGACGAGAAAAAAGGCATGTATTCATTCGCTCTCAACTCTCCAATGGCAATCGATTGAAGCTTGGACTGATGTTTAACCCATGTAGATCATACGTTGATGCGGATAGCCTTAAATGCGACTGGCCAGGTTGCGAAAGGAGAGAGCCCTTCAATCGCTTGCAAGACCTTCGGCGCCACAAAAAGACTATTCACGAATCGCCTGGCTCCTTTGTCTGTCCCTATGATGGATGCCACAAACCATATAATCGAGAGGATAATCTTCAGGAGCATATTCGCCGACACCATCAAAAGCAATGAGGGCTGATGACAGCTCCAGAGGGTCTTGAAAAGTGTGGCAGGTCGGTCCTACATATGGGTTCATATGAGCGATGGTTTGATGTTGTTCATCTTGGTCATATTTGTAGAAGGGCATGCGGTGAGATGAAAACATATCAATAGTAGATTGGGTGTTGCCCCTTTACTATCTCAGAGCTGTAGTAGCGCACATAATAATAGAATAGCTGAGATACGGCAAGCAGCACCTTACAGAGTAGTAAGGATGGGTCCTATTAGGCCTTGCATACTTCAGTCCAGACTGGGTACTAGGCACCTGTATCCCAGGATAAAGCACCCTGGTATATAAAGGCACAAAATATAATACATTCATGATGTATATAATGAGTTCAAGTTTAGCTTTTCTATAGTTCTTAGCACGTAATCTGCTGGCTCACTGTAATGATGAACCTCCATATGTAGTAATACTAAGAAGCAGTTAACTAAGAGATTACTAAGTAAGTTATCACTAATTATACACACCCAAAGTACCTTACAATGACTTTCATGGCATGATCATAAAGCCATAGTGATAATCTGCACACAGCCCTTTTCTGCATTCAGAAGCATTTGCTCGCTATGATACCTAGATTCCAAGTCTACCAATATATGTTATGAGACAGACCCAACAGAAGACTTGTATATTGGCCATGAATACCTTTGAATGTAAAAGTGGTAAGTTTGCTAAATGTGGAATTACTGTTATTGCTATTCAGCATTGTAGGTTATTTCCCTGCTAGTCAAGAATACCCAGCTAATATGAAGAGGACTATAGCAACAGGCGTCAGATTGCTGAATCCCGTCAAGTAAGCTTGGTTGTAAAGCTTAAATTACACTCCATTGGTTACACAGATTAAATCATAGATCTAGATCTGGACCCAAACCCATTGAACTGCACATATTAAACTATGCAGCCATAACCTATTATGGCTTAGAATTCTAAACGACCAGGAGAACCAACTGCAAACATCGATATTTCCAATATTGTTATCTCAGCCGGATTCGGTAAAAGCTCTGGCTAATAAGGCGAATTCATAAGTTCAGCGCGTCATCTTGATCTCAGATTACATCCGGCTGAATAAACTCGACCCATTAGATAAAAGCATCTCTTAAAAGCCACCGGCGTTTGTTTCTCCAGGTTATATTGCCATACCTGGTCCTATGTAGCCTCTTGTTTTTGTTAGGTAGTTAGCTGTTATTTGCACTGACGTCATATATTCTCTGCCCTAATTTATTCTCTAATACTCCTACAAAAGATCTTACTGGATAACCAGCAATAAGCTCCTAAAATAAAAACAAAGCTAATTCTAGTAGCCGGGTCTAGGCAGCTCGAAAACTCTTTGAACTGTTGGCGGCATCTGCACTTTTCTGTAGCCATGACCTGTAAAGCTTTATTGTAGATTGACTCACCTTCATAGGAAAGTCAATTGATTTGAATTTAGCGTGAGCACCATAGTTTATAGCAGCATACATAGGAGATTGGTCATTTGGTCATCATCCTTTCAAAGGCTCTGGGCGTTACTAAATCCGTCTATACACATCGCCTCAATTATCTAGAGTAGATGATATTGGAATGTGTCACTTCTATAGCAAAATAGTCAGTCTCTCAACTTCCTGACCCTTGGCAGAGCAATATGACCCGCGCTGAAACCAGGATATAAATGTGCCCTTCTTCTCCCATGAATCGAGCCTCCCTCCTTCCAGTTACCCCCAGTTAACTAATATCAAACCATACCTTTCCCACTTCAGCTCTTATCAAAGTCGACATAATGAAGTTCTCCACTGTTCTTCTGGCCTCCTCAGCTATTCTGTCCGGAGTAAGCGCAAGAGTCATTTGGACAGACTATGATCCTGGTGAAGTATGTTGGAGAGTGTGCTACCATGAAGAGCCCCACTGTCCTCATGGCTGGGTAAGAAGAAAAAATGCCTTGAATTTACTGTGAAAGAACAGAAAGATTGCTAACACTTCACATATGCAGCATGCAAAGGACTTTGGGGTAAGACTTGACTTTACTTACCACTTACTATATCCGTGGAAAACTGCTGACATTGTTTACCAGCATTGCTGGACTTGCTGCAAGTCATACGACCATGATGACGCCGATAATGGCCTGTATAGATGGCTTAAAGAGTGATGACTACTTGGTTTCATTCTCGCCGACATGGAGAGAAAATAATCTGATTCCTGTGGACACGGGGGTTATTCTGGTTGTCCAAAATCGACTACGGTGGTTGGTTAAACCTGCTGTTTATTCGCACAAGCTAGTGTTGAAATGAAGGCTCTGCTATAATCTTAACAATAGTAATACAAAGCAACATTTCATAGGCATTTTGGGCATATTTCCTTATAAACCCTTGATGACTTGATATGCATGCAGGCGGCCAATACAGGGGTCCTCAATGCTTAACACCAAGCTAGAACGCTACATATCTAAGTTACCCTCTAACTACAAGCCTCTACTCTTCATGCTCGTAAATTAAGAATACTACAGCCCGTCAGTTGATGACAGAATGATTGGGACATCAAAATAGCCCAGATGGCTTTCCTAGGTCTTCTGTGCATATTTGACGTTATTAGTGTCTGTCTTGACCCCTGTATCATTTACTGGGAATTTCTCACTTATAGCGGGGTTCAACTGCCAAGCCCGGGACAAGCCCAGGACAAGCCCTAAGCCGGAATGATAGTGATCAGCCACTTATCCTGACAATCTACTCCGTAGATTGCCACATTACACATAATCCACAACTCTCCATTCCCATCTAGAATTCGGATAGTTATCAAGCTCGAATGCCAGCTAGTAAAATGGCCGTGACCCGCGACCATCTGGCATCCCTACCCGCCAGCTTCTTCAAAGCCGTCGACGACCGAGATGTCGAGGGTATAGTCTCCCACTTCGCGCAGCATGCTACTTTCACCGTGCAAACCGACCATGTCACAGTCACTGGTGTCGACGAGATCCGCAACATGTTTTCAGGCTTCATTCAGTCGTCCCGGACGATGCACCACGAGATAACCAACATCGTTGTCGACGAAGTCAATCGCAGGGTTTCCACCGAGCAGACCTATGTCGGAGAGATGATGGATGGCACGCAGAATGACATGCGGAATTGCAACTTTTTTGATGTCGATGGGGACGGCAAGTTTACAAGGGTGATGGTTTGGATGGCGGGAGCGAATCCCCTGAAGAATCCTTCTGGGGATGATGCAGCCTAATTGCGGGGTTCTTGTGTGAATTGACTATATATGTACATACTTTTCGGTCTGGAGATGTCCCTGTTGTGGTGCTGATTTGCTAGAATGCCAACAGCCAATGCTCCGGCTATTGAATACATGATATAAGTTTGACTCATGTCAAGATTTCGAGTGAGAGAAATATGACAAGAAGGATGGCCATATTCGGGTGTGCTGTCCGAATGTGTGGGTTGACTCCGCTGCTAAAGCGACTGGAATGATAGCCACGCGGAGACCTTCCGAGCTGATGTGCCTTTAATTCGTCAGGATTCCGGTCTTCAGATCACGAATAAGCATTCGCCGATAACGCCATCTGCTAGAGTGAAAAGTGCACATTGTTACTCCACATGAGCCAACGCTAAGAGCTGAATTGCCCAATCAGCATCCATACTCGGAAATACAAGCACAAGTCTTGATGGCTAGAAATTCGGCCATATCCAAATTCACACAAGAGCAGACTTAGTATACGAAATCCCCAGTGCTGTGACTAATTGCGCTGTTCGCGGTAGATAACCAGTCGATCACGCCTTACGGGCTAAAACCGAGACGCAAGGGGCACTTAAATAGTTCAACTTCCAACATGTCCCGCGCCACTTTCCTGTTGGAATACTCTTACTCTGGTAGACAACTGTCAAAATGGGCCGTCTGACGGTTTTCAATCGAAAGCGAAGAGCAGACAGTGGCACCGACGACACCTCTAGTGTCTCCCCGGCCAGCAGTAATGAACCAAAAACAGTCCCTGCAACTTCAACGCCTGTGGATGATGCGGAAAAAATCCAGCCGGTCAGTGAAACAGCTGCCATCGAGCAAGAAACGGAGCAGGATCCAGAGATTGCAGCACTTCCGCTCGAGGTCCGCCAACTGGTCAGCCTCACAGATGATCCTACTCTGCCCACCATCACCTTTCGCTATTTCCTCCTCTCCGTCATCTTTGTCGTCCCGGGAGCTTTCTTGTCGCAGATGAGCCATTACCGTACAACGCAAGCGCCGTATTCGGTCTTCTTCGTGCAGATTGCCTGTCACTATGTCGGCCACTTTCTCGCCCGGTGGCTCCCTGCCTGGACGATCCGGGTCCCATTGACGAAATGGGCATTCAGTCTCAATCCTGCACCCTGGAGTATCAAGGAGCATGTGCTCGTCACCTTGACAGCGGCATCCGGGGCGTCCTACAATCTGGGCTACACTCCAATCTCCCTGGCTGAATTGTTTTATGGAGAAAGAGTGAACCCTGCTGTGGCGATCTTCTTCATGTTTGCGATTGTCTGGATTGGATACGCCTTTGCTGCGATTGCACGTCAGATCTTACTGTACGATCCTTCTTTCATCTGGCCCCAGGCACTGATGCAAACCACACTGTTCGAGACATTCCGCAAGCAAGACACCTCTTCTCCTTTAGCCAGACGTCAGATGAAGATTTTTTTCTTTTCACTCCTGGGAATGACGCTTTGGCAGTTTCTTCCCGAGTATGTCTTTCCCTTCACATCGTCGCTTGCCTTTCTCTGCTGGGTTGCGCCCCGTAACCCCGTCGCCAACTTTGTTGGATCGGGCCTGGGCGGAATGGGATTCCTGAACCTCTCCCTGGATTGGTCTAACATTAACTGGAATGGCTCATCGATTCTGCTTACTCCCTGGTGGACGCAAGTGGTGTTGTTCCTGGCATTCGCGTTCAACTGCTGGGTGCTTATCCCAGCGGCAAAATGGGGAAACCTGGGCTCATACAAGCACGGGCTAATGTCGAATTCTCTACTCACGGCCAATGGCACCAAATATCCTACCCTGAAACTCCTGACATCCGACTTTCGTCTGAACCAAACGGCCTACGAGGAAATAGGCCCCATGTACATGGGTCTGCAGAACGTCTGGGCCACGTTCTTCGACTATGCCAAGGTCACGGCGGCGGTGGCATGGATTGCCACATTTGGTTACACCCAAGTCAAAGGAAACCTACTCAAGATGCTCAGGTCGCGGAACAAAGCATCCCAGGCCACCGGCGAAGGCATCAACCACCAGTACCACGACCGCCTCAACGTCCTCCAGCGGTCCTACAAGGAAGTCCCGCTCTGGTGGTACCTGGCGCTCTTCCTGGCCGGCTTCATCATCCTCCTCGTCTCCATCGCCTGCGGCCACCTCTGGATCCCCATCTGGACCCTCTTCGTCGCCCTCGGCAGCGCCGCCGCCCTCGTCCTCCCCTTCGCCTTCCTCTACGCCATCTCCAACTACCAGCTCGCCGTCGGCTCCTTCAACGAGCTCATCTACGGCTACATGGTGCACACCAAGGCCGGCGAAGCCCACCGACACCCCTGCGGGCCCTCCACCTACGGCTCCATCGCCGGCGACGCCTGGTACCGCGCGCAGTACATGCTCCAGGACCAGAAAATTGGACACTACATGCACATCCCTCCGCGCACCGTCTTCTTCTCGCAGGTCTTCGGCACCCTCCTCGGCATCCCCATGAACTACGCCGTCATGCGCTGGGTCCTGACCACAAAGCGCGACGTTCTCACCGGCGCCAAGACCGACCCGCTCCACCAGTGGACCGGCCAGTCGCTGATCTCGTCGAATACCCTCGGCGTGCAGTACGCCGTCATCGGGCCCCGCGAGCTCTTTAAGGAAAGCGAGATGAGGCCGCTCCCCTGGTCGTTCCTGCTGGGCGCGGTGCTCCCGCCGGTGCTGTATGTGTTGCATCGTCTCCTGCCGCGCTGGCGCATCGATCTCTGGAACGTGAGTATCTTCTTCTCTGGGTTGGCGGTGTTTTACGGGAACGTGAGCACGGGGTACACGTCTGCTATTATTGGGGGGTATGTGGTGATGTACTGGGCGTATCGGAAGCGGTTCGAGGTGTGGAAGCGGTACAGCTATATGATCGCGGCGGCGTTCGATGCCGGCTTTAACCTGAACATGCTGCTGATTTTCTTGTTCTTCGGGTCGGGGAGGCAGATCTCCATGCCGCATTGGTGGGGGAATAATGCGGATTCGGTGGAGAGGTGTTTTGCGTTGGAGTAGATCGTGTATTAGCCGTCAACTCACTCAGTATATTGTCAGACTGCTGCCGGAGAAGAGACCGGGGGTATACCTGTGTAGCAATTAACGTAGAAGGCATTCGGGGACTTGGCATTATCAACGCTCCGCTACCACTTTCGTTCAGAGCCAGTAATAATATCGGGGTCAACTAGACTCCTGCACAGCGAACGTCCTTGGCACCATTCCTTGATATCATTAACAACTATAGGCATCTATCTTATATTGTGCACGGTGAGTCATTAATCTGCCTTTGGCTGCATTGCGGAGTGGAAGAATCTACTGAGTTTGAGTATCAAGGAAGAATTGACATCTTCCCACTGTTTTACACTTTCTTTCCTGTTATTCGTCCTGATAATCAACATAGTGATAAACGACCTCCCCTCAGGATCCTTATGTTTCCTTGAGCCTAAAATGTCTGAACTCATCCTCGATAATAAAACATGTCCGCTGAAAGTTCCCGGGTTCCACAATATTCCCATTGACGTCGAGCTTCCACAGGATCAGTTCACAGCGGGGATCCAAGACTGGCGAGGTACGATACGTACAGCAAAAGAGCTAGCCAAGTTGGGTTTGATCAATACTCTTACCGAGAGACAGGACTGGCATGTGCGAATTTTTCACCAGGAAGAAATCGCCCGCTGGAGAGAAGGTGCGCTGGCATCCTCGTCGCTAATAAATGACCAGACCTGGAGCTGGTGCTTGAAAGAGTTGCAAGACAAGGCAAGAGACTTCGGGAAGCAAAGGCACGAGCTAGTATTCAACACCGGCAGTGGTGTCTGTAAATCTGATACGGCGATCTCTTCCAATATACAATCAGAGCTACACGACGCGGCGGAATTCCTAACCAACGACGCGGAAGAGCGAATACAACACCAGTACGTTCAGAAGTCACCGGTCTTAAACCTTGTTGATCCGTCTCTGTTTCCGCTTGTCTACGGGGGAACAAAGGTGTTGACCGGAGGGCAATCCTGTGGGATGGACCAAGCTGCGTGGTCGTCGTGCACCCAAGAGGGCCAAATTGCCCCCGAACAACCACAGTTTCCACGGGAGAACTCACGCTTGCATCGGCTGAGCCATGAATGCATCTTGCCGACCAAGTTTCAGTGGTTGCCATGTGAAGTGGAGTTCACTGGTCCTCCTGGGTCCACCGACGTTCGAATTACCTCTTACATCAACAATCTCCATCCGACAAACCGGAACATGTATTCAGCAATCGAGGGAGTTCTTGCAAGCTGTATCAAGCAGTGGAATGAGATAATCATTCGAGAGAAGTGGAATGAACCGTCCGAATACAGGATCGGTCATTGCAAACCCTGTCCTCGCGAGCCAATTCGAATACGGACTTACGGGGTGGACTGGAAAGCGCGATTTCCTGAGTGGGCTAAGAAACTGCCCGAAGACTCCAAGGAGAGCCAGCTATCTGTTGAGGAATATAAAAGGATGTGCACTCAACTGGAGGAATACCTTCAGGAACCCGAATCCAAGGATAAAGTACACTGGTTTCAGGTTCATACGCAAAAGATCCGGGGTTGCGTCGTACAGCCTTAACAAAATATGCACACATGTTCTTCTTTGAGCACTCTGATCCCGGCACTGCGTATTCATACGAGGACTGGAAAGCAGGAAGGACCGGCGAAGCAATTGTTGGCCCCGTTGAACAGGAGAATTGGGGTCCAGTATTTGAAACGGAACAATTCCTTCTCTCTAACCCGTGGATGGAACCCTACCGATGGGCCTATGAGCCAAAAGGTCAAAAGGACGATGATCATCAATTCTACACGGTTGCCCTGCAGGACGAGTTTCGTGGAAAGGGTCTTCAGGTTGTGGTCAAGCTCCACAGTATTGCGCTATCGCCAGATACGCCAGCATTTTCTGGCGAGGACTGGCATACTGAAGGGAATGCAAACGAGCATATAGTCGCCAACGCCATTTACGCATTTGACTCTGGCAATATCTCCGAACCGCAGATTTCCTTTCGGCAGCGGCTCTCTCACGCTGGCGAAAGATACGTCTACGACAAAACAGGTGCCGCTGATGATTCAGAGACGACGAAGAGACTTCGAGGACGAGGAGTATAGTGACCCTGAAAACGCCTTGATATTTGAGCGAGATCCAGAAGAGAAGTATGCATACTGGAATGTCAAGTATATAGGAAAACTTTTCGGATTTGAAACAATCCAGAATGCGCCCGCCTGGCAGGAACTAGGGAAAGCGAGAATGCCTCCAGGTCGCTTGATTTCTTTCCCCAATGCCTTTCAGCACCGAATGAGTCCGTTAGAGCTTCAGGACAAGACTAGGCCAGGACACTGTCGTTTCCTTACCCTCAGCCTTGTCGATCCCACGTACCGCATTTGCTCGACGCGAAATGTTCCCCCACAACAACCGAATTGGACCGAGGGCTCTGGGACGCAGATGGATCTAAAGGAAGCCCTTGAGTTGAAAGAGGACTTGATGAAGATACATGTACGAAAGGACGAGGCTACCTTTGAGCTTGCTAGAAGCATTGTATTCTCGGGATTTCAATGAATGTACAGCTTCAACTTGTCATAAGCGCAAGGCACATCACTAGTCAAAGGAATTACTACAAAGCAAGATTGTTTGAAGCTAATATGAATGAAAGCATACTTGATGACCTCTCAAGATAGAAACAAAGACTAACAAATAGCAACTTCAGCAGGATTCAGATAAGCCTGTATCGAAGGACAAAAGGAGCTTGGACCATCTTCCCAGGTAGTAGCACATGAAGACGAACTGCTTAGGGAGACACCATATACAATACGGAGTACATATTGAGCACGGACTAAAACATCCAGATTGCTGAACCCCGGAATGATGCCTGAATAAAACCCCGGATTTCCCGCTTCCCCACATTTTCCCCCGCCGGCACTCAGGAACAGATTCTCCCCTTTTCGGCAGGAACCCCACCGCCGGGATCATCATCGCATTTCAATGGCTTCGTACGACGCCACAATTGCAGGAAAAATAAGCTCGCTCCACTCGGAGATTCGCTCAGATTATGTTCCTGGGGTATTTCTTCACACCTCCATGACGCCGGGAAAATGAAACTTACCCCACTCCACCGGGTCGCTCTGTGGCTCCGCWGAGATATAAAAGACCGTTCAAGACCCATTCTTCAGCTCGATTGAACAACACATCTTTGCAATCAGAAATCAAGAGCAGCGACCATGAAGACGACCATTTTCGCCTCCCTGCTGTTAGCCGGGACGGCCCTTGGCAGCCCCGTCCAACAGAAAAGAGATACCGTCACGGCCCAGGTGAACTTTGCCAATAACACGGGCAAACCGCAGCATCTCGCTTCGGGTCTGCTGTACGGACTTCCTGATACCGCGAATCAGATTCCCGTAGGTCTTCTTTCTCCTCGTCACGAACGCGACTGACAATGCATAGACCAAATTCTACACCGACATGGGATACAACTACGAACGCGCTGGCGGAGCCCAGGTGCCGTCGCCTGGAAGGGGCTGGATCTGGGGACTGAACGAGTACAAGGTACTACACTGCCCTAAAATAAGAGGGATTCTTTCTGACAACGACAGACCCGCTTTGCCTCCGCGCTCTCCAACTACAAAACAGCCCGCCAACACGGCGCGAAATTCATCTTCCTGATCCACGATCTGTGGGGCGCCGACGGAACGCAAAATTCCACTGCCCCCTACCCCGGGGATAACGGCGACTGGACCAGCTGGGACAACTACCTGACCCAGCTCATCAGCGATATCAAGGCCAACAGCATGACCAGCAGCCTGATCATCGATATCTGGAACGAGCCCGACCTTACCGCTTTCTGGAATCGGGGTCAAACGCAGTACCTGCAGATGTGGGGACGCACGTACCACAGACTCCGGTATGTCTTGTGTCTATTCCGCAGGTCCAGAAAATGCACAACTAACTGCTAGTAGTTCCGAGCTCGCTAGCGTACTGCTCTCCGGCCCCGCGTCCGCAAACATGCCCCTCGCGACCAACAACTGGTGGAAGAGCTGGGCTTCCTTCGTGGCCAGCAACCAGAGCGTCCCCGACCAATACGCCTGGCACATGGAAGGCGGCGGCGGGGACATGCTCTTCTCGCAGGCGGGGCTAGTTTACTGGCAGAAGACGTACGGGCTGCCCGGGCGCCCGATCAACATCAACGAGTACGGCGTGTTCAACGAGCAGGTCCCCGCCGGCTCGGCGTGGTGGATCGGCCAGCTGGAGCGGATCAATGCGATCGGCCTGCGCGGCAACTGGCTGAGCGGGTGGAAGCTGCATGACTTCATGGCCAGTCTGCTGAGCAAGCCCAACGCGGAAAGCAGTAGCTACGATCCCAAGGCCACGGGCTACTTCCCCAACGGCGACTACCAGGTGTACAAGTACTATAACCTGAACATGACCGGCTACCGGGTGGGTACGCTTCCGTCATCGGACCTCAAGCTCGATGCGTATGCGACTGTCGGGGCTGATGGGGTTGCGCGGGTGCTGGTTGGTGTGCGCATCACCAGGGGGACGTGGGAGTTGCAGTTGAATAAGTTGTCCGCGTTGGGGTTGCCGACTAGTGGGACGCTGAACGTGCATACCTGGGGTTTCCCTGTTGCGTCGAATGTGCATTATGGTGAGGTCGATGGGCCCAAGGATCTTGGTTGGTATGGACATGCGTACTCGGGGGATTCGGTGACGTTCCCGGTTTATCAGACAGATACCACCACGGCGTATGCGTTTGAGTTTAAGATCTGAGGTAGCAGCTTTATTTTCATATCACCCAAGGAGAACGTCATAATCTACTTTGAAGCATGGCCTAGTATTATCCGTCCATAAAAATGATCACTCGGCCCTGCAAGTATACAAGAGATCGATGGCAGCACGTGACTTGTCAACGATGAGGAGAGACTGTTCCTGCCAGAATTCTTCATCGATCTTCGACTCTCCACCACAATCATGACTTGAGCCGATTCAGTTATCAGTATCTAAAATTGTATCTGTACAGTGTCCAAGCAAGAACGGATCTGTATGCATTTGACCAAAGAAGAAACCTGAATACGAAAATGACCCCTGGACACCCTTCAGCCTCGTCGTTTGGCGGTCAGCGTCTATATTAGATATGTTACTGCATGACGCAGTACAGGCTATAATTGGCTCATGATTTTATTGGTCAGCAAAACAAGGATAGTCTGAGAGGTCAAAGACTCAGCCTTGCCGGCCTCATCTGTCTCCGGTCAGCCTTGCCGGCCTCATCTGTCTCCGGTCAGCCTTGCGCATGGGTCGGAGACTGATCATCATGTCTCCAGATCGCAAATGTCGGCAAAACTTCAATACCGTCGGTTGGCCATCAGCAAACGGAACTGCCCTAGGTTTGTTTAAAGTACTCAGAGTTATGAATGCGAAAGACACCGGCATGACTTCACCATGCAAACCCCAATAGCAAATGTGTCGAAGCTCAAACCTGAGATACGCCTTGTGCAGGCACTAGCCGACTTCAAAGCAGTGCTGTCAATCGATCGGAGAGCAAGATTCGACGAATCCATCGCAGCGTTCAAAGACCATCCCCCAGATGCGAACGATGTCAATCGCCTGACCGCTGAAATCAACCGTGATATCCAACAGACAACGAGGCGTTGTTATGGACCGCGTTTCGTACACGTCTTACAAGCTGTGCAACAGTACGCATCTATAGGCGATGTCTTTATAGGAGGATCGCAGAATCTGGTTGCTTCTGGAGTCTGGGCGGCAGTCAGGCTGACATTAACGATGTTGACTCAAAGCGCCACATACCTGGAGAAAATGTCAACCCTGTTTATGAAGGCGGGCAGAAGTGCTCCCCGATATCAGGATATGGCCTTGCTTTACCCTCGCTCGAAGCGACTACGGGACGCACTGTGCGAGTATTTTATTGTCATTTTGAATATTTGCAAGCACGCTGTGAAGTTTCTGCACAAGTCCGCATTATCGCAGATCACGTCCGCTATATCGGACTCTTCTTTGGCATCTTTCGAGAAAGAGCTTCAACAGTGGTCAATCGTCATTGTGGAAGAAGTTGCTTTACTGTCAAGTCAAAGCATCCAGGAGGAGGCGAAGGAGAATTCGCGATTTCGGCAGATAATGGCTAAATTCTCTGATTCCAACAATCAGCGCCAACAGTTGGCTCTCAGAATTCGACTACTTGATGCTTGTTCCACATATGACTACCAGACATCTTGGAAGCAGGCTCGGAAACAGGGAGCAACAACCTGGTTCGCGACCACAAGTGAGTACCAACAGTGGAAAGAAACACCTTCCTCGTGCTCTCTGTTGTGCACCGGCAAATTGGGATCTGGCAAGACAACACTGATGGCAAACATGGTTGATGACTTGTTTTGTTCTACTCCGAAGGGAACTGTCGCATACTTTTTCTGTCGATTCGATGTCTCTGAGTCTTTAACTGCAAGGACCATCATCGGATGTCTTGCGCGACAACTGTTAGGACAACAGCCTATTGACCTGGCGAAAATCGATAATTCCATCGACAATTCACTTGCAAGCCCTGACGAGCAAATAATTCTCGATCTTATACGAGAGCTGCTTCCTGTGGATCCAATCTACAGTTTGATTTTGGATGGGCTCGATGAGTGCCCGGAAAAAGAGCGACAGATAACGTTAGAGATACTGCAGCAGTTGCAAAAGCACTTCAAAATTCGTATGTGCCTGTCATTCAGGCAGGACGCGGGGGATCATGCTAGAGTTGCAGCTGGTATTCTTAATGGGAAATGGACACTGCTTATCCCAGAGAACAATCCCGACATCGAGGCTTATATTGACGCTGAGCTACATGAGCGCCTCGAGTCAGACAGGTTGAGCATCGGAGATCCAGCTATCATCCTCCCGATCCGACATGCCCTTGTCACTGGGGCCCAAGGAATGTATGTATTCCCCCTGGACCACTTCCCCAAGTCACTGAAATCAATGACTACGTAGTCTGACAAGTTTAGGTTTCTCTGGGCCACACTGCTACTTGACTGCATTTGCATGGAGCAGACAGATGAGGCAATTCTCAAGGCCCTTGAAAGCCTCCCCCAAAGCCTTTCAGAAACATTTAGACGGGTCCTACAGCAAGCCGGTGCCTCAAAAATTCAGCATCGTCGCAGGATTGTGGAGTTGGTTATGGCTGCCCGACGACCCCTATCAGTGGAGGAATTATGTGAGGCTCTCAGTGTCATTCCCGGTGACACAACATGGGAGCCTGGGCGACAAATCAATAATATTCATGCGGCTCTTGCAAGTTGCAAGTGTTTGATCATTATAGACGAAGAGGAGCAGTCTGTTCGGTTTGCCCACCATAGTGTCAAGCAGTTCTTTATTGCTCGGGGCGATAAGCCAGAAACTGCGAATCCCATCAACCCGGACGAAGCAAATAAAGAAATGGGTCGGATCATCCTAACGTACCTCAACTACGGGATTTTCGACCGTCAAGTATCTCGCACAGTCTTTCCAAAAATTCCTGCTGCGGATGCCCCTGCTCGGATTGTGAGCACCGTCTTCGGAGATTCCGTCAACACAAAACGAATCGCTCTGGAACTGCTCAAGGCACGAAAAAATGGCAAATGCGACATAGGCCAAACCCTGGCCGAGAGGGCCATGTCGCAGCGGAGATCTCCAGCCGAGAGCCATCCCTTTTTGGCTTACGCCAAGAACTACTATATGTATCATATTCTAGGGCTTTGGAACCGGGAGAAGGAAATGGGACGGCTTTGGCAGTGCCTCGTGGCGAGCAAGTCTCTTGATGTAAGTATAACTTCAGCTCAGCTTTCTGAGCGGACACACTGACAATAGCCAGCTGCGGATTGGCGGTTGGCTGCAATATGAGTTGCAGCAACAGCGAGTGACCGGCCTCGATGGAGAGTTTGTTCCCCGTGACGTTCTGAACCAGCGGGTCACATATGATGTTATTCGCAAAGTCCTCGAGGAAACTGAAATTTATAGACATCTCGAATCGGCACTCGTGCATGGTATACTCAAAGAGTGCCAGCGATGTTTTGCGATACTTGTTGACATAGGGATCAACGATTATATTTGGGCCCTCCTTCAGTCTTCGATGAAAGACTGCCATCTCCCCATTTCGAGGGAGCAGTTTCTCGAGAAATTCAAGTCAACAGTGTCGCCCACTGTTCGATCTGGGTCTAAAAATCCGAGCACCTCACGATCTGGCGGTCCAATGGAGAGAGATAGATTGCAGAAATTGGCGGACATGTTCTGCCTTCGACAGCGCGAGTACCTTGCCCCTATACTCCACGAAGGTTCGCACTATGGCTCAGAGGACGGGATCATGCCCTTCTTGCGTATTGAAAAAACATTCTATAGTTACGACGACGAATCCCTATTTGTTCATGTTCACCCTGCACATCATGATTTGGGTGTGGAAAACGTTGATGCTGGTTACCAGGTCGCGCTCAGGTCCTTGAAAATTGATGCGATTGGTCCAGATAACCAATTCTTAATGTCCGATGACCCCTCTGGGATTGAAATTCTTCATCTACTCCGAGCCATTGCGTCATATCGTCAGTGGGAACAGGGCGGAACACCCCAGCCGATTCGTTTGATTTTCCCCATCCTTGGCCCGAACCTTGATGACGTTTGGCGGCAGAGCTTGGTTACGGACTCGTCTCGACAGTTTCTGAGATTCTGCCTGTACCAAATGACTGGCATCGCCGAGGCTCTTGCCTTTGTCGTTCAAAGCGATCCGGAAGAGCGGTTTATCTCACTACGCCAGATTACGCCAAGCAGCATTCAATGGTGCAAGCACTCACTCTCCACATTCCAGTCGGGAACTTTGCGGTTAGATTTACGGACTTTGATAGCTGATCAAAGTAAAGGCCCTGTTCGGCAATCTGAAGAGGCGTATCGTGCCCCATATGAGGCGGAGGGAGATGATGTACTGATATATGACTGTGTCTGGAGCCTGGGATGCATATTTTTTGAATTCCTTATTTGGGCTGTGATGGGATCGACAAATCTTCAAAAATTCCGTGAGGCTAGGGGTGGAGCGAATGCTCCATTCTATTCGAAAACATCATCCTCTGACAATTACCAAGGATTTGAAGTGTCCCCGGAAGTTTGCCGCTGGGGGGACATGCTGCTCAACGAGCCCGAGCTTCCGCCGGAGGTTCGTCGTTTCAGCGAATACTTGCTACAGCATGTGCTTGTAGTGGACCCATCAGCCAGGGTATCGGCCCGCCAGCTCGCGTCTGAATCCGAAGACCTTCAGAAGCAGCAAACAAGCAGCAACTTGCTCATGGACTGGTGAAAACTACTGGATGAACGCTGTGGCAGGTATAGATTGACATAATAAAGCAAATAACGACTGCATTGATGGCACTTCCTCAAAGAGATGATAGTGCAGTCGCGGACATACAACATGACAGACAGACTCCTTGCTTCTTCCTGTCCTTAGGTCAGTACGCCTAGATATTACCTGCAGAATGAGACATCACCTTGGCAATTCCCTACTTCCCTCTATACCATAGGGCAGGATCCCTACTTGCCCTTATTCCGGGAATGGATCTCTCCGGAAGCTTGTCAACTTGAGTATCACTTCTATATAAGAGTTTAATGATCTTTCAGGTTGTGTCCAGAGGAGCATATTCTATGATACAACTATAATATTGTTAAACACATAGTGGCAGGTACAGGAAATGAGATGATTATATATTTTAGCAGTGATTTATATTTATCCTAGTAGACATGATGATGCATATATATACAGATATACGCACCTCCCAATGACCTTGTCAGAATCAAGCATTACAGAGATTTATTCATTACCATTGCCGACCTCATATGCTGTGATAAAGTAACCAGCTTACCGGTCTTGTTTGATGCAAGAGCGCAGACGCTGTTGTGTTGATTGATACTGTGACTTCATGTTTGGCATATGCCTGTCGTCTCCCGAAATATTATATAGTTTATATACAAAAGAAATATGACCAAGTAAGGCCGAGTCTTCGTCCCTTATATACATTCCCTTCATCAATTCTCAATGCCGGATTACACCCTATGACCCACCTCAACACACGCAGCATCCGGCTCTTTGGTAGACGGAAACGACCCCTTCGTGGAACCCGTACGCGAACAATCCAAATCCTCACCGTCGACAAACCCCGCCCCATCACGGATGATACTCGCCTGACTCTCCCGATGTTCCCTCGTCTGCTCCAGATGCGACCGATTATTCGTCCTGCGCGACATCTCCAGCGCATCGGACGGATCCGTCGGCGCAGAATTCGAATGCGACATGAGCGACATGTGGACCAGTTTGCCCAGGATGGCGTACTCGAGCTTCAGCTTGACGCTGTACACCATCGCCTTGAAGGAGACGTGGATGTGGAAGAGCCCCGCGTACTGGAAGCTGACGATGGCGGCGTCCATGAGGATGAAGAGGACGTTGATGATGACCAGCTGGACCAGGGTGGAGCGGTACTGGCGTCTCGGGCGCAGCTTGAGCAGTCGAAGCGCGGCCTTGGTGTAGATGACTGAGAGGATGATTTCCTGGATGGAGAAGCCGATGAGCTGGACGCGCTCGAAGATCTCGAACGCGGGCGTGAACCAGCCGGCCCGGGGGGACTGGGCGCCCAGCTCGAAGACCCAGCCGATGGTGTGGAGGATGATCCCGTCGACGATGATCATGGCCAGGGTGGCGCGCAGGAGCTTGCGGGAGTAGACGACGAGATGTAGCCGCGACCAGAGGACGAGGGATTGTCCGGTTACCATGGCGCACCAGCCTACGTCTGCGAGCGAGACGGCGAAATAGCCGGGGTAGATGTTGAAGATGAGGAGGATGTAGCCGAGACCGAAGGGGAGGATGCCGACCGAGGAGACCAGGAGGGCCCAGAAGTAGAAGCCGCCATATTTCTTGAAGGTGGTGAAGCAGAGGACGATCAGCTCGATGGCATTGTACCAAGAGACGGCAATGAGGCAGGCGATGGCGAAGTCTTCGGCTAGATTAGCAGCGGTATTGGTGCTCCGGATGGAGGACATTGGGTCATGGTTCCTCCGGCTGGTGGAGGGGGCAGCTGCTGGTGCATCAATGACACGCAAGGCAAGCTATTAAGGATGGGGTTGGGATATAAGGCAATCGATGGGCTCCTACCCTGGTCATCGTTTTATCACCAAGGCAGACAATAGCAAAAGATACTTTGCACTAGGCAGGGTTCATGCGACAGAGTTGGAGCTACCGAGGTGGCAGATAAGCCCTTCGCTTATTGACTTGGTTAATATCATTCGAGGCTCGATTCACCGGGCGAACAATTCCAGAAGCTTTGACTACTAGCCTCGCGGCCATTCCCAGGGTTATGTATAGCTATGATCGACGGCATCCTCTCCCGTTTAATTTGACTTTTGCCGTCCCTGGATCGATGCACGAGCAGAGTCCCAGTGTCTGATCGCGTGCTTGACTGCCTAGACTGTGTACAGTAAGCAGACAGGCGATCTGACACGCATACATAGGATGATAGGACGGCTTTTGGGCCCTTGATCCGATCTCGGGGCCGGACTGATGCTGGATCCACTACAGGCTTATCTTTCTCGAAATGAGATTGTTAATTGGGTGATGATATAAGACACCATACTGTCCGATAGGAGCAGCTTCCACGACCATCCCCTCATTTACCCTTGTTCACTGTCTATCACCGGTCAGAGATCCACAAGAGTCTTACTGCCAGTCCCAGAGTCAACAGAAAGCCGAACGGAAGGGTTCAGCCTCAAACGCCAGATATAACCATGGCGCCAGCCTGAGAGCCTGAGAGCCCTTGTTAATTATAGCCCTCGCAAGTGAGGGCAGCGTCATGATTGGCTGCATCTTCCGGGGTCACCGTCTCTGCTCCGGCGAGCTTGTTACAAAGTTAAACTTAATGCGGTTCCAGCCAATCAACCGACAGACTTACATATGACCTGCAGCCACAGAAGGTTCGCGAATCCACTCTAATCGTGTCTATAGCCAATCGCGGGAAGCGACACATCAGCCTGCTCCACTATATACGGACAGAAAATCTCTCAACTCAGGGCAGAGAATGAGGTACAGACAGATGCACACATGAACAGATGAACAGCATGTGATAGAATTATACTGAGTGTAGGTTCAAGCATGGACTCTGGACTCAGGGGTTAGCTTTGGCATCTATACTTTGGGCATATAGAGCCGATACTAGATATCCACTCGACCATGGTCTAGGCGTCTGACTTCAGGGTTATCCCAAACTAGTCTACGGAGTAAGCAACAACTAACAACTGATCAAGCCACTGCTATCGAAAGAAAGGAATACCTGGCCTGCTCGACGCGGCAGTAGGCTGTTGATTCTCTTGCCCTCAGATCGGATCTCGTCTGTGCTCCAGAACAGCCCAGCTGGAGTTCAAGGGCCCTGTCCTTAGTATCTCGCCTGAATCATGTAAGCAGAGGTATACGTCTGACTGATTCGCGGAATGAAAAGACTCTATCAGCCTCGATCTCCTTGTTTCTATATCAGTTGACAAGCTACGTAAACATGGATGACTCCTCGTATGTCAACAAATCCCGTAGTATTCTTGATGGTGACTTATGGAACGACAGGTCTGATGGAGATATCCCCCATGATCAAGGTGCTTGACCCAGTTGTTTCTGAGAAGTGGAGCCTTCCCCAGATAATGCGACGGAGCTGGTCCAAGACCACTCCACATCCTGGTTCAAAGGAGACTGGACATGCTCCAAATGATCCCTGGTGTTAAATTCCGTGCTCCTCAAAGGAGTATAAGATTGTTGGACGTCCCTGCCCTTGAAAGCCTTGGCGGCAATGCACGCCTATCAACGTGACTGTCGCCCGAGGTTTCAGACGCGACGGAGTACAGGATTGTCTAGTGTACATATCGGGATTGGACATTTAAACTGTCAGGTAGAAGAGTGTTACTAAGGTACAGCTGCCCTCCGAAGAGTTTATGCCTAACACTGTATGAGCTGCGGACGAATTGTTGGCTGTCCAACTCAATTCGTAGGACTCCGTACTTCAATATCGTTCATCAGGAGCACTATGCGTTTTTAAGATGCCATTGAGCTCAATATTCGCGTCCTACGTATCGACAATGGAGCGTCAAGAACAAAAAGAGTCATTCTTAGCAGACCAGACAGACGATCCTGTTCGGATCCTTCGGATAGGACGACCTCGTGATAGCAAAATCTGACCCGATTGAAGGTGATGCGATACTCCAACGCTCGCTCAAAATCCGCCCGTAGTTTCTCCAACAACAACTCAACATAACCACGGGGGTTGTCTTGTGGTTATAAACAAGAAGAAAAAGAAGAAGATCCTCTTAGCAAACGTCGGAACATCCCGGAATCAAGAAAGAAAACGCAATCCGTTTGATAATATTATTGCTAATAGAATTAGCCCTAACACTTTTTGTACGTAAAATTAAGGCCGCCTGCCCCACGGGGGTAGAATGGAGATCGCCATCCGCTTTGGAGAAGAAAGAATAAGCTCACATTTAGGTATCGGGTTATACTTCCATTGCCCTGCTCATTTGATCTGCTTAGGACCTTGTTGGAGACGAGTGGATATACGACTCCAAGATGTAGTCTCATTACCCAATAGATGTTATGTAAGAGTTTCAAGCCGCTGTATGAATTTTAGCCCGGCAGAGACAGTATATGAACATGGATGGCACGTCTCACGGCTATCATCCACAGCAAGCCAAAGTCAAACAAAATGACCCGAACAATCCACATCGCCGTCCTCGACGTCGACATCCCCCCTCGAACCCTCTACGAAACACACGGCCTCTGCAGCGCCCATTTCCGCAATGCCCTCCAGGACGCAGCCACCCGCCTCAACGCCCTCTCGCCAGGAAGCGACATCAGCATCGCAGTGACACCATACGACATCCGCGGCGGACACTACCCAGACTTCAGACACCTGCGCAAGACGCAGACACCATTATCCGAACACAGCATCGATGCGATCCTGATTACGGGAGGCGCGCCGGGCGTCTACGAGATCGACAAGAGGCCCTGGATGCAGAAACTGGCCAAGTTCCTTCAGACTGTCTTTCGGGAGTATCCCGCCGTGAGGATCATGGGCACATGCTTCGGTCACCAGTTGATCGGGCACGCGTTGGTCGACTCCGGGGCGGGGGACGTGTATGTTGAGAAGTGTCCGCTGGGGAGGGAAGTGGGGATCCATACCGTCCAGCTGAACAGGGACTTTGTCGATGCGTTTCCGCTTGCTCTTGGCGGTTTACCAAATCGTCAATTGAAGATTCAGATGTTCCACGGCGACCGGGTAATGGTCAAAGGCGGAAACGAGGGCGTGTTGCCAGAGACAGCGGCGGTATCGCTGCCCGCGCCGTGGGTGAATATCGGGAGCACGCCTATCTGTCCGATCCAGGGAATGTATTACCCCGGCCGGGTACTTTCTGTGCAAGGACACTACGAGCTCGACGCGTTCGGGATGCAAAAGATGTGTCTTGAGTTTGCGCCGTTGCTGGGCTGGACGGACTCGAAGCTGGGGTTGTTTCTGGAGCAGGTGGGATTTGATTATGATGGGAGACAGGATGATTCAGGGGCGTTTGCATTGGCTGTGGTTTGCTTTTTGGCTGGAGAATAAAAGTTGCTGATTAAACTAACTAGACATAATTAGACGGCGTTGGTCTGCAAACTCTTCTTTTTCACTCCCATCAACGCCTTCGTGTCCATCCATAGTCCTCTAGAGATGTCTTTCAGCGCGCCGGCACTCTCAACCACCGGGTATACCACGCAGATGATGACACTAGCCCAGATCCAGATCAGCGACACGACTACCCAGCCGGTGAAGAACTGCTTGCTGTACACGTAGCTAGTTCCGAAGAGGGTGAACGGCACGAGGATCACGGCGATGAGGATAAAGACGATACTCGCCCCCTGCGCCAGTCGTTCTGCCTTGCGAACCAAAATCGGGTCCAGAGGCTCGATCTGCTTGTCTTGAAGGAACTCGACAATCTCATTCTTTGCCGGTGCTGGCGTTGCTTTTTCATAACCGCCGACAGCTTTCGATGGCTGCACTGTGTCCTCCTGAGGCGTGGGAGCCACCCCCTCAATTCCCGGTGCTTGGGCATCCACACACGGATACTTCTGCGGAAACAAATAGCTCAGAACGACAGCAGAGATGATGCCCACCCCGAATGATGCAAGATTGCCCGCAACGGCATTCGTTCCATCCCCCGTCGTCTCGACGTTAAGCGCCCCAGACCGCTTCATGGCCGTAACGAACCAAACCACAATGCCACAGACAAATCCGAGCCACGGCGCCACAATCGCAGCAACTGTCGACATGCGCCCCCAGAGCAGAATCAGCCCGACGGGCACCGCAGCCCCACCGACAATAACCCCCAGCACGGTAAGAACCCAGGTGAGACTCAGGCCTACTGCGTTGAGGATGCTGCAGAAGGCGGAAAGAAGCAGTGCATACAGCGCGATGGCCCAATGACTAACCCGGACCAGGGTGGCCGAGTCTGTGTGCGGGCGGAAATACGTTTTGTAGACGTCAAAGGTGAGAAGGGACGAGACGGCCATGAAGAGAAGGATGAGCATGAGGACTGCGCCTCCCTTGCCCAGGAGCGTTATAGCGGTAGCAGGAGCGGAGAGCCCGGCTGCTACCTGTTCGGACGACAGTGGATTGGGATACGTAGGGAAGGCCGGATTGTTGGTCAGGGCAGCGCACCCGAGACCCATGGCGGTCGCGAAGCCAAACGGGATGCCTGCGGAGGTCAGACACCAGCATCACAACACGAAGAGGGGTAACCTACCATACCACGCGATCCCACCCAGGAGATACGCCTTGACAGAAGTCTCCGGCCGCGAGGCAATCGCCCGCTGCCAATACGCCTGATCCAACCACACGGTGGTAAACCCCGAGACAAAGAGGTCAATTGCAAAGACCAGCCCACCAACTGACCGGAACGCCAGGTACGACCCGTCCGTATTGCGCGCGATCGGCATCTCCCTCGACGCCTCCTACAGCAACTCATACAACCTCTCGGGACTGCCTATCAACTCACTACTCGCCACAACCAGGAACCCAAACACCAGAATCGCCACAAACAAGATAACCGTGTGCGTATAATCCGCAATGAAGGTCGAGCGCAGGCCCCCGGCAATCACATACGCCGCGACAACCGCCGGAATCAGAAACGTCGCTGCGTAGACATTCATCCCCGTCAGCGCGGACACGACCTGCGCCCCGCCAAGCACCAGACAGGCGCCGACGAGCATGTTCATCGCGAGCCCGTTGTACAGGTACGTCAGGTGCGCGATGGTCCCGTGGCGGGCGCGCACGATCTCCGGCGTGGTGTGTGCGCCTGGCGCGTGGGCCTTGATCTTGATGGCGATGAGGCCGAAGAGGAGGATCTGCAGGGTGCCCATTGCAGCGTACCACATTGGGCCGCAGACGCCGTAGCTGTATGCGAAGGTGGAGCTTGTGAGGAGAGTCGCGGACCAGGTCCAGGAGGAGACGATGCCGGCGGAGATCAGCCCGGGCTTGACTGATCGGGAAGCTGTGTTGAACTCTTCGGCTTGCTGGGTGGAGAAGGCTGTGTAGCGGTTCTGGAGCCAGGTGAGGCCCAGCATGAAGAGGGCGAAGATGCCCCCGATGCCGATGACGATGCCATAGCCGGCACTGGGGGGGAGGACCTGTAGTTCGTTGGATTGGGCCATCTTGTCTGTCGGGAAAAGACTGCATCTCTGTCGTTGACACGTTATATAGGCTATAGAGTGGTATGGAGAAGCGATAGAGACGACCCCACAGATGCTTATCTTTGGAGTATACAATGGGTTGATAAGAGGTTGATAGGGTTGATAGCCACAGAACAGTTGTTAACTTATCTCCAAAGCGTCCAGGATTCTGATAGCAGTTGGAGTAGCTGTTATCAAGCCAGTTATCGCTTAGGCCGGGGTTGGGGTCGGCATTGGACATAATATGGTGATCACTTCACCTCCATACTCCAACTCATGAACCTAGACCTAACTATCGATCCATATGGGGTTTCTCCTCCAATTCAGAAGGGAACATCTACACCCGGGTCAACTCTAAAATCAGAGGGTCGATAAGGTAGTTGGGGAGAATGAATGGCAAAATCAAGGAAGCCTACTGTACTGGTTCCCCTACGCGACGAACAGTTCTTTATCAGCGATGTCAAAAAGACCCAGTATTGAACTGGACTTATCTTAGGTTCTGTCGATAATCGTTCTCCTGCTCCCCACTCCCCTCTTCCATCCTGCCCCCAAAACGGCCCCAGCACCCTGCCCTGGGCTTGAAGCACCTTCTATACGTCTATCATCCTGAGATACAGGACTATGGCCAGACAGCCCTGAATACTATCTTTAGTTCTGACAGAGTCGTTCATAATTATACTGAGTCGTATTTCTGCAGACTGTTGGTATAGTACTACAGGACATAACGAAATTGCTTATTGTCAATCTCGGTTTGATCCTGGAAAATTAGCCTGCGTCGTATACTCCAATAGCGACAAACTTACCAGCATCCCATTCTCAACGCCCCTATCATCATCCGACTCCTCCACACTCATCCGATCCCTTCGCTGATTCTCCAAGTACATATACACATACAATGCCGTAATCGACACCAGCTTGACCATATACCCCACCAGCATTCTGCCCCGTCAGCGTCACTATACCCACATGGAAAGAGTCTACTCACGCAATATAAGCACTGCGATACCCCGGCGCCTCGCTCTCCTTGAACGTCTGCGGCCCAATGATATTCCCCACACAGTACCCCGTAAACAGCAGCGCCCCGGTCACCTGCTTCTTGGTATACCCGGCGACATTCGAACTCACCATCGTCAAGCTCATGCTGAATCCGAGACCCTGGAAGTAGCACAGCCACAGCGCCACAAGCCGTCCCCATTTGTTTGTCCCAGGCAGGCCAACGAGTAATCCAGAGCCAATGATACAGATGGTGTTAGCAACGATCATACACGCGCTGCGCGAGTGGAATTTATCCCCGAATTTCGTGGCGATCCAGCCACCCACCAGCAGCGCGAGGAATTGCACTGCGCCGCCGGGGATCTGCAGGTATTGCGTGCCGAGGGTATCGAAGCCGAAGGAGCCGACGATGATGGAGGTGAACTGTTGCGGTCAGAATATAAGATGGCCAGAGTTAGGGTTAGCAATGTAACTCGGAAGCAAAGCATACACTCGTCAACGCAGAGTTGGGCACCTGCGCCCCAACCGCCATCACGAAGAGAAGCCATGACTTGGGATCCCGCGCGGCCTGCCAGACCTGCTCCCACTTAAAGTGGTGGTTCTTGACGCCCTGCTGGTTCCTGGAGACGCGGTCGACGGCGATGGCGCGCTCCCTGGGGGTGAGGAATCGCGCGGTGGACGGGAGGTCAGGAAGCAGAAGCAGGGAGATGATCCCTGTCGCGACGGACACTGCGCCGAAGATGAGGAAGACGTACATCCACCGCGGTAGACCGGAGGTGATGTGTCCCACCGCGTAGCCGATCAATCTGTTTTATTCCATTCCGGTTAGCAGATTTCACAGGAGCGAGGCATGAGGCGACGGGCCTACCCCCCGAACATCGTAGCGATGCCGTTAGTGCAGTAATACGCCTCCAGGCGCAGCGGCTGCTCCTTCGCTGTATACCACATGCTCATGAGGAGGACAAAACCCGGGTTCACGACGGCCTCGACAAGCCCTAGGAGGAAGCGGTTGGCGGCGATGCCGGCGAAGTTGTGGCAGGCGGGCGTGGTCATGAGCAGTGCGCCCCATACTATGTCTTGTTAATATTGATCTAGATAGGCCCGAAACGATGGTATACTGATGGTAGTGATGGACAGGACTTTTCCCATTGGAAGTCGCTGCAGGGCATATCCGGCCGGATACTGGGCGATCAAATAACCAAAATAGAAGATTGAGCCGAGCCAGGCATAGTCCTGTCCGTGGAGCTTCGTGCCTTGTTTGAGGCCGTAGACCGAGGCGAAGTTGAGGCTGTTTTTATCCAGATACTACGCCATTAGCGATGATCAATGCAACGGGCGGGGAAGACGCACCTGGAGCATGTATATCGCCACGAGGAGCGGAATCAAGCGAGTGTCGATCTTGCGGAGGACCTTTTTCGCCTCTTCTGACGGATATTCGAGTCCTCGAGCCTGCGTATAGACATCGTAACTGTCGTCTTTATCGGCCGAGGGATGAGAGGATAGAGCCGAGTGTACTTCTGCCTCGACTTTGTCTTGGTTGGACGAGGGCATTTTCTACGAGTTGGGCCGGTCTGCATAACGCAATACTGTGGATGACTTTGTCTCTATATTTATACTTATTCAGGCAGTCTCCTGAGTACATGAATTGTGACAACCCCACACCCCTTAAAAGCCTTTCCTTGAGTTATGATCAACGTGCAGGCCCCGCCGCTCCGATATTAGCCAGCCAATACGGCAACATCAAATAAGGGCAATTTCTTCAAGAAACATGCCGCGAGTCCAACGGGAAGGTTGATACCTGCCATAATAGACGAACTAGACGGTCAAGACGGGTGTCAGTGTCATCTGCGACTATAATCACGACATCGGGCGGCGATGGCGTCTTAGTGGGATAATTTTCCGCCATTGACAACAAATCAAGGCAATTAAACAATCACACAACTGTCAGACTAGATATATAAATAAGTGTATAACCAGCATCCTCAATCAACCTTCAATCCTCTAAGCTCACATGAGAAAAGGATCCTTCAGCAACACAATCAGAGCAGCCAAAGATGCTCACATTGAAGTGCAACCTTCCCGTGCTCATAATCACAAACTCATCCTCCTGGCCAGTAACCACGGACATTCATCACAAGAGAATAGTATGAAATCCTGTAATTGATGCAACCCACTGCAATGAGTGGCTCCACCCTTGCCCGCTTGAATATCTCCAGAACCCTAAATTCAAAGTCCTTGCACTCGCGGTGACCCTATTCCAACGACACATGGATATTAAGCACAACCAGTCAAGCAGTTTATCCTTGTTGACAGGCCACGTCCCTTGATATAATAATCCGACGTCTAGTTCACGGCGCGGTACCAGCCTGGTGTCCAGTCAATTTTATTACCTAGTTTAATCAGACTTCTTATAATGAAGCTGCATGTGCCATTCTTAATATAAACTGCCAGCTAATATCTCCTGATATGCTTCTATAACAGTATTACATGCCCAGTCACAGTGAATGCCATTTCAAACATTATTCTAGTATAGATATATAGCAGTGAGCGTGGCCCCTAGCTTAGAGGGAGTTAGGTTATAGTATATAACTACTTCCTATCCCTCTCTTACTTATAAAGGCCCTCACTACTACCCTAAATCTAGTAAATAATATCCAGTAGTATATTAGGTTTAAGAGTTCTCCGCAACTACTTCATCTTGTGTTMACATAAGAAAATGTATAAAGAACAGGATTTGGGATCAAGATTTGAGATAAAGAAGTTGATCTATGAGAAGGCAGACAAGGCTGGTCTCAGAGATAATAGAGCTCAAAATTAGAATGTGGTGAAGGTGCTATAACTTAGTAGATAAAATAGGAATATTATAGGATATATTAATAGACCTATATATGCTAGAATTAGTAAAGTATATTTTATAGCTTAAATAGTCTTCTACTTATCTTATTAATATTAGGCTATTAGCAGAGTTATATAATAATTATATTATATGCCTACTTTATGCTCTAACTTACACTTAAGAAGAAGCTTAGTAGATAAATATAATATACATCAGGGGTCAAAAGTCTGTGCACACTCTGTGTATCCATAATGCGTTAAAAAATTAACATTCTTTTTAACCACTATCTATTCCATTAAAATGAGGTCTTTTGGCACTGAAATTAGTGGAAATAGAAGGCCTAAAGCTAAACTATCTTCTGAATTATGCATAGCTATTTTATATAGCCTAGAGAACCAGGGATTATCTATATAACTAGTAAAGGAATTTAGCATTAATTACAGTACTATTTATAAGATAAAAAAGTAATTCTAATAGCACTATACCCTAAAATTAAGGCCTTATACTAATAGACCCCATAAGCTTAGTGTCTCTACTAAGTATTATATCTACTAGATAGTTAGATAGAGGCTCTCTATAAGCTGGAATGCCCTGGTCACTAGCACACCTGGGGGGGTATTAAGGTTAACTATTTAATATATTTTAAAGAGATATAACCTTAGGAAGTAGAAGAGTAAGAAGAGAATCCCTTTAAAGCTAGATATAGTTAAGAAATACTATAAATTTATATATATATAGCTTAATTTCTCTCACTAGGAAGAAGTACTCTTTTCTAATAAATATTCTATCTAAAGAAAGTTAAATAATTCTACCTAATTTATCTTTTAATTCTTAAATAAGGCATACTAGCATGATCTAGTTAATCTAATAAACTATAGGAAGGATATTTCATAAATAATATAGGGTATAATCTAGATTAGAGGCTATATAAAGCTAGTAATTATAGAATATAATAAATTAGCTCCTTAAGGTAGATATTCTACTAATTCTTACCTAAAATACCTTAAAGATAGCCTCCTTCTAATCTATAAGCCTGGCATAATATTCAAGCAAGATAATACTAAAATCTATATATCTTACTAGGCGTAGGAGTAGTTTAAATCTTATAGAATCTAGATTATAGAATAGCCTCTATATTTACCTAATTTAAATC